GTGGCCCATGCCGCGCACCGATTCAGGCTCATGTACTCCGACCGTGAGCTATGATCAGTATCCTACCAATGGAGATCAGAGTGCCATCACTCCTTTCTCTGGTGGTGCGGTTGGACCCGTCGGTGCTATGCCCATGAACTCTATGCCGTACCGTGGAGGTATGGCATTTGCGACTCCTGGCAGTGTCGCCATGTCACCGCAATCAAGCCAGGGTTGGATGCCGGCGCCGATGGACCTCGCTGAAGCAGAGATGCACTCGAGGAAGAGCCCGAATTATCGGATTGCATTGCCGTTGAGGCGGGGAGATGGGATTCGGAAGAGAAATTCCCGAATTGAAATCTCCCCTGAACTGAGTTTGGCCAATATCGACGAGGCTATCCGGGAGTGCACGGATGAGGAGAAGAAAAAGGAACTCAAGGCAAACAAACGACTGCTGCGGAATCGGGATGCAGCGTAAGTGGAGATTCATACGTCGAGTCGGATTTAGTGCTAACCTTATTTCAATAGCTTGCAATCGCGTCAGCGCAAGAAGAAGGAAGCCGAGGGAAATATAGAAAAGCTCAAACAAAAGGATGAGATTGTCGCCCAACAGGCCGCAAAGATCGCGCAACTGGAGGAAAATAACCAGAACATGCAACGGGCCATGAAAACCCTGGAGTATGAGAATCACCAGTTGACTGCCTACAACAGGCAGTTGACCGAGCACATCCAACGCCAGGATATGGAGAAAGATGAAGCTACCCTCAGACACACGCGGGAGACCGCCAATCTGTTGAAGAGGAACAGCATGCAGGATGAGATCATCAAGCAGCTGGAGCGCGATGTCAAACCCGCTCAAGAAAACCTGCCTGGCGACTTCACCGGCTTTGAGAACTCCACCATGGAAAACCCCTCATGGGACGACTTCTCAATGGTTACTGGACCCCCCTTGCAACCGGAATATGTTCAAGCTCCCCGTCCTCAGGTTAGCCAGCAGGTTAAGGTCCCGGAGAAATCCAACAGCGGATCAGACCTGCCGATCAGCTGGAACGCCTTCTACATGTTCCTGCTTGTCGGTGCCTTCTTTGCCTCAAAGAGTACCTCCCTACCGGGCCGCTCGCTGCCCCAACTCTCCGAAGAGTACCGGGCCGAGTCAGCCAACGTGCTGAAAGCCGTGCTAGCCTCGTCACCTGGACACGAGCTGACCCACCCCCACTCCATCAATCACGCGACAGCCACCGGACCTGCACCGGCAACCATCAGCGGTATGGAAATGGCGCAGATGAGCTCTGTGCAATCCGTGCCCTCGAATCTAGACCAGATGCATAACACGCTCGTCATGCCGACAGAGGAACAGGAGCGTCAACAGGTGTTTGCAATGAACGCCGACCAGTATAACTCCTTGACAACGTTCGAGGATGATGGTGACTTCAAGCCACAGCAGCCATCTACTCTGCAGCAGGCGTTTGCTGCAATGCGGGATACCGCTGCGCAGCAGAGTCGTATGCACTCCGCTTTGTCTTCTGATGTATATTCCAGATCATTGATGTGGGACCGAGTGCCTGAAAAGGTTGTTCGGGACTTCCGCCGTATGGTGCAGGGTCATGGTTATGATACTCCTGTCAAAGAGGAAGGTATTTTTCACCCTTGAGGTTTTCCTTTCGGGAATAGGCTTGCGATTTTCGACACAACCGTATTTCTTTTTGATTCTTTTCTTCTACCTTTCTTGCGTTTCTTGCGATGTCCTCCTTGGGATAATTGCTTGATCCAGCCCTTTTCTCTTCTACCTTTCTTGCATCTCTGCGACATCCTGATTGGGATTGTTGCTTGATTTGTCACCTTTTTCTTCTACCTTTCTTGCATTTCTTGCAATGTCCTGCTTGGGACTTTTGCTTGATCTAGCCCTTTTCTCTTCTTTTTTTTCTTCTTGAAAAATACGGGCTAGCAATGGCCCTTGAAATACTAGCGTGCAACGATAGATCACGCAACACCTTTTATTCTTCTCTTGTTTGTGTATCTATTTCAATGTGTTTTCTTTGAGTTCAGTCCCAGGGTCAGGTTTACTCGGGCACAGGGGGCTTTTGTTTAGCGATGTGATGATTTTAGCGATTGGCTTCGGAGCGTGTTTCTGTTTCTTGTTTTGACTGATGGGAGGGGGAACTATATTATACGAACGACAGGGTGTGAACCTGAATTATGTGTTTATGTGTACAGACTGGGGATCCTCTCTGCAAGCTGGGATGACTCTCTGCAAGGCTGGGATGAGATCTTGGCATGGGATACGAGAAACGAAACGAGTTATGAAGAAACCTTGCATGTGGCGATTGCATCCAACTGTGCTTATTATGACTTGTTCTATGATCTATGTGTTATGTTACTTTTATTTAGCGATCTGAGCTGGGATAGTCTCAGGATGGAAATGGGATGGGATGGTCTCGTGCTTTCGGGCTGGATGAACTTGCTTTTTCATGTTTCCAAATGTCTTATTTTACTCCTCAGCCCTTAGTTCCTGGAAGTTCAAGTCTAGACCCAGCATATGACTCGCAAGGTTGTTTTAGCCTGAGTGACTTTGTGCTGAGCCCATAAGTGGGCGGCTGCAACGCGAACCGCCGTGATGAGGAGAGGATAATGTGATGTCTCATTAGGTGACATGAACTGCTCTTGCGATGTCATTTATATTATTTGATTCATTATTGGGTCGGCTTTTGCCGACTCAGTACGGAGTTCATCAACGAAAGTATCCCTGCAAACCGGGGAGGTCCGTCCACACTACGGAGTATTCGTGTCTCTAAATGTACCAATGCGACTATGGGATGACCTCTAGGCTCAAGCCACTACGCAGAAACTGCCCTTTCGAGTAATATCTCCTCACAAAGAAACTGCGATGCCAGGGGGTTGACGCACGTGTAATCTATGTTGAGGGACCTTGGGGGAAAATCATGACACTAATACCCAATCACCACCATGAGATTTGGCCCACTGACAAGACTCGCGTCGAATGCTTACTTCGCCCCAAGCTTTGACAAGAAATTACCCGAGCCTTGGTTTTTTTAAAAACGTGTGTAGGGCTGATGGTTGATCCCGTCTGGGCATTTGATATCCCGCAAGGGGCACGGAAAACCCTTAGTTCTTAGCACAATAGTACAATAACAGCACACCACGCACCTCAGGGATCCTGAACATTAATCAGGTATTGTAAAGGTCTCAGAAGTGCTAAGTCGCTTTGAATACCCTAGCCCATAACGTAACTGGTCATGGAAAATACAAGCTAACTACGCAACTAACATAATTGGGACCGCAACCTCCCAAGGTCCTCACTACAACGGAGGACCCGAAGAAGCCAGCCTAAGAGGTACTTTCTCAGATATAAAACAGTCACACAATTCCTCCCATATCCCAGGGTAAGATCGTCGTATTTAATTTCCCTCTTCTTCGAGCTTTTATTTGGGCTTCTCCCATCCAACCTCGAGGCACGATCTACCAAAATAATCCGCCAACATGTCTTTCGATCCTCACAATGTCGACCTGGATACAGCCGACCCAATTGATATTGTCTGCTACATCAATAGCGAGGGAAACGAATATAATGGCCAGCTAGGCGCGCGAGTCTCCGCCATATTCGTGATCATGATCATCTCTTCAGCAGCAACCTTCTTCCCCGTGTTAGCCCAACGCGCACCACGCCTACGCATCCCCATGTATGTCTACCTCTTCGCCAAATACTTCGGTGCAGGTGTCATCATCGCAACAGCCTTCATCCACCTTCTCGATCCCGCATATGGCGAAATCGGTCCCAACACGTGTGTCGGAATGACAGGTCACTGGGCAGACTACTCATGGTGTCCTGCAATTGTATTGACCTCCCTGATGGGCGTTTTCCTCATGGACTTCGGTGCCGAGCGTTGGGTCGAGCTCAAGTACGGTGTCTGTCGTGAAGACCCAGAGCCCATGATGTCGACTGGAGGTGAGGTACGCCGTGTTGAGTCGCGTATTTCAGCTCGCCACGCAGATGACAAGCAAGTCAAGGAGGTTGAGTCGCAGACCAGCGAGCTGGCGATCGAACGCTCGGTTAAGCAGCAGCTTGCCGCGCTGCTGATTCTGGAGTTCGGTGTTATCTTCCACTCCGTCATTATTGGTCTTAACCTTGGTGTCGCCGGTGATGAGTTTGCTACCCTTTACCCTGTTCTGGTCTTCCATCAGTCCTTCGAGGGTCTTGGTATTGGAGCCCGCATGTCCAGTATCCCATTCAAGAAGGGGAGCTGGTTGCCTTGGTTCTTGTGTTCCGCATACGGCCTTACCACCCCGATTTCCATTGCTATTGGTATTGGTCTGCGCACCACTTACAACCCTGGATCTTTCACTGCCAATGTTGTCTCCGGTGTGCTGGACTCCATCTCTGCTGGAATCTTGATATACACTGGTCTCGTTGAGTTGCTTGCTCGTGATTTCTTGTTTGACCCCCACCGCACTCAGGACAACAGGCGCTTGGCATTCATGGTGGTGACCATGATTCTTGGTGCTGGTATTATGGCTCTGCTTGGAAAGTGGGCTTGAACTAAAATGGTGTTGGAGATCTGAAAATGGTGTCTTTGTTGACAGATGGGTGAATTGTACGATGGTGAAACTGTGAACTGTGATATTGAATATATATTGGTTATAATTGGTAGTATAATTAAGGCTCGAGACAAATGATACCCAAGGTGGGCTGGTTTTGTGATATTCTTAGAGAGAAACAGTAGGTGTAACTGGAAAAGTCTGTATTTGCGCAAGGAGAGAAGAAGAGAACTACTAAAGTACTGGGAACAAACACTAGGTCAGTGACCTTCCAACACCCCCCACGACTAGTAATATAGTCAACACCAAAGCTCCAAACTTCCTTTCGTGAAGAAAAAAACCAGTTTTGTGACTTGCCATTACCCCTTTTTTTTGTATGCAGATCGAAATTCAAAATTCACAAAGCACTTTTATAGACCACAAGGCCTATTTGTGCAACGAATCGTTTAAACATCTTGGGGAGGGCTTCATTGGCCAGAGGCAGCATCTAGATCAGATGAACGATCTCTCGTTGTAGGGACGTAATTTGGATTAGGCGAGCCATCCGGAACAAGATCAAGATGGGAGAAATCCAAGCGAAAATCCTGATTGACAACCTGACGGGAAGCAGATTGTGGCTCCACGAGAGCCCCCGATCCACCTGCTTCAAAGTGGACACCATTATCCTCCCGTTGTGCCTCCATAAACCTACCAAAACTACCCGCCATTTCAACATCGTCGTCGTCATCGGTGAGCTCAAAGGTATCGGGATGGGGAAGAAGGTAATCAGACGGAATGTGGAAAGAGTGATCGTCGGACGGAGCATTGATCTTTGGAGCGTTGTTTTCTAGAACTCGGTGTTCCAAAGTCGTAGGGATTGACAAATCAAGAGGTAGATTGTCTGAGATATCAATCTCATTGTTGTTGACCTCGCAGTCTTCGATTTCGAACGATTCCTTCCATGACGTCAAGGTTGGCACCGGGATAAACCTGTGTTGAATTGGTAATCTAGTCTAGATCTACAATATATTTCCTGTTTGATATGACTTGGATTCGTGAATAAATGACCAGGCTGATTAAACTAAAGCATTTCTTTCCTACGGAGTATGTATACTACCTTGTAGGTAGACGCGACAGGATGACAGAGTGGGAACCCACTTCAGTGCTATTGGGATCGAGATCGTTGGTGATTATTATGGTTTCTATATACGGACACTGTTGGTTAGTATATCACCCTTCCTGAAAGTACTTTTGGCACTACTCACCTGACTCAGGGCATTGGTGGAACAATGGCCAGTACCTTGTAGGCATCGGCTGGTCCGTTATCGAGTTGGGTATCCGGTTGGCTCAAGCGCTTTGACTGTGCTTCGAAGATGTTAGTATGGGATCAAGACGGGGGGTATATTTGGCAGTTTGGATTACAATACCAAACAGCTTGAAGCTGTCAGTATTTGCCCTCGATACTCGATGGCGTCGACACTATGTTGGGTAACGATAATGAACGAATGGGATAGTATCCACGAATGTAAATTCACGAATGCAATAACGATAGGGACGACAGTGCTTTCGAGAAAGACATCTCTTTAAATACCACTTTGTTCTCGTCAAACTTGATATTTCCTCCCTGTCCTTTACCAACTACAAACCCTTAACTGTCTATCGTCGTCTTGCATTTTTGTTTGCACTGCTTTAAGTAGTCACCATGGCGATTGACAAGCCATTCGGTTCGCTGGATGGGGCTCCAATCGTCACCAAATTTGCTATCACCAAGACCGAGAAGTGGACAGAAGGAATCGAAGGATACACCTATAGGCAACGGAGCTATAGGCAAAGGTATACTTCTAAAGTGAATTGAATCTGACCTGAATCTGAACTGAATCTGAACTGAATCTGAACTGAATCTGAACTGAATCTGAACTGAATCTAAGTTGAATCTAAGTTGAATCTAAATTGGATCTGAATGAATTGATTCAAATTGAATCTGGATTATTCTCGAATCGTGGAGCTAAATTGAGTCAAGGCTATCAAGGTCCAAGCCTTCAACACAGTCATTCAAGTCCGCGAATATTGATCCAAAGTAGGAATCGGGACATCTGTGGGGGTAGGTACGTGCACACCTAGAGTAGCAATCATGCCAATGCGGTGTCGTGAATAACCGTACCTTCTGCCAGAGATCCTCGTAATTCAAACCTAGAAAAGGAGCTGCGGGCTTCGGTGAAAGAAGATGAAGTGCCTCCATATGCATCGTAAGAGCTCCATACATGATTGAGCTGCACTCAAAACAACAGCCTCGACTGCGGCTCAGGAAGGCGTCCAGTGTTGTATGAAGGAGAACCAATGTATTTATAGCCCCCTCTCTCGATTTGTTGATCAACCCTGAGATTCCATTAGATACTAAACATCTTCAAAATTTGTCCGACCTTACCGATGACTTTATTAGGGATAGGAAGTTCCCATCCACTAATCACATTTTCACTGCATGTCATGATAGTTGATGTTGATTCTTCGAACTCCAAAGGGAGCTGGAAAAACCAGGAAACCCACAACCACAACATCAAGTCCCGAGAATATATCTTAGGAATCTCTTCATCCATTCGGTAGAGCCAGATGTCTGTCATGAAGTAGAGCGATTCCTTGCATTCATAGTAGTCCGCTATGACAGTAACTTTGGCGAGCATCTCAAGGGTAAGCGTTCGCGGTATGTCCTTGTGTTTGACATGAATTGTATGAAGCACAACCAAGAAAGCTTCGATGTCCCAACCCTCTGCAATAATTTCAATTGAGTCTTTTTGAAGATACTTAATGGTTTATTTCTAACCACCCGTGAGCATTCTTTTGAACACCGGGGGCGCAAATATCAAATGCTTGGCAGAGACTCGAATGTAGAAACAACGCTCGACAATGGGTTCGCATATTTTCTCCTCGACAGCAGGCTCTTCAACAACGGGCTGTTCGGCAACATGCTGTTCGGTAACGGGGTCTCGGATCGGTGCTGGTCCTGGAAATGCAGCTGGTCCAAGAAGGGATGCTGCTTCACGAGGGGTCCGAATGCCTTTCGGATTCTGTTGCTTTTTGCACTTTGTCGTTAGCTTCCTCGAATGGGTTTGCGGGGGTTTAATCACTTCAGCAGGACTCTGGACACATTGACCGAATTCTGGAAGTGTCGTTCGACTCACCCTATCTTCAAGTGCTTGTGCAAAAGGAGAGTTTGCATTGCGCAATATGATGATCACTTCACCGTCTGGATCGATAATATGAGTTGGTTGATTCATTATCGTTATCAAATGAGAGGAAGAAATGGGGGTTTCCTTTGTAAGATGAAAGAGAAAGAGATTGATGATGTGTGTATCGTTTCTTCTCTCTCTGTAGAGGGAGGACAGACTTGGTAATCAGATAAGATAGAAGGTGGCAGAGCAAATAGCAAACATGCAAATGGCAAACATGCATCCATAGGTTGATTGTTCAACAAGATTATCTATTTTCCTTGGAGACCGACTACTAGGATAGCTAGTTGATCTACTATTGCATATAAGCATAGCTAATTAGAGAGAACGGCCAGTTGAAAAAGGGTCCATTAAAACGATTTCACAAAGGAACATTGAATTTAACTACCTCACATCACCACCTCACATCACCACCATAGAAGCAAGTTATCCAGCGACGGTTGACTATGACCTTCCCCATATTAAGATGAATCCCTCGAGGTTGGAACATGTAGGCCGGTTTATAACAGCCTCGAGGGACTTAGAAATACAATATCCTGCAGAGGAATATCTCTGGGGTGTCTGTGGAGACACAAACCACCAGATTCGGATAGATCAGGTTGTACAGTCTTTATATAGTAAAAGCTTAGCCATATTATACTACTGCAGTGTAACCGGGCAATAGTAAGTAGTCAGCATAACTCCGTCAATTGGGCACCGTCGATGCATAGCGGTGCCGTGTGTCTGTAGATCACTTTTGTTTGTCAGAAATTATATGGTCTACCAATGATGCTAGGCGCCTGTATTCTCCATCAAGTCCAGTTCATTACCACCTACTCCCGCAAGTGCTCTCAGACCCCAAGATCAACTGGGGTAAGTAGCCACACACAACCAAGTCTTCTAATGTCATGAATTACTATATTCGGTTGGATACATATTGGGGCCAGACTATCGGAAGTCCAGTTACATTGGAATCCATTATTAATTCTTGAAATTTATTTAATCGTAGTTATTGAAACGTATATTGTTTACCCCCAGGGTATTGTTCATAAGGATATGGCATCACCTTGCGTAAGCGCCTTAGACTGCATAAGCTTGAAACTCACAAATTGCCCATAAGGACATGGCATGGCGCTTTGTGGAGGCGCCTTGCGGAAGCGCCTTGGACTGCATAAGCTTGAACTCACAAATTGCCCCCTACGACCTAATAATAAACCCATGCCAGCCTCAAGCAGTTAGTATACAGCGTTAACATGTTTCGTCTGCGTGGGAGATGTTTCAGAGCGGGGGCGGATTGAGCTGGCGCTTAACCGTCGACCACCCCCTTCTGCTATATAAATACGATCACTTCGTTTCTTAACAGAACTACAACTACTCAGCATTTTATTCCTAAAAGACCTACTATTACTCAGGGATTTCAAGTCCAATCACCACCTATCCAACAGGAATTCTAGCAGATATGGAACTCCCAGCGCGTCCAATGGCTGCTAAGCCACTCAGAATCCTCTCACTTGGTTAGTTTTGTGATTCCCTTTGAGCAGAAAATGGGCTACTGACCTGCTGCAGACGGTGGTGGGGTTCGGGGAATCTCGAGTCTATTGATATTAGAAAGAATCATGGAAAGGATCCGCGATGTTGAACATCTTGACCACGTCCCGCGCCCGTGTGAGCATTTTGACTTGATCGGGGGTACGAACACTGGAGGGTGCGTATATATAACCTATGTGTAGGTTTTAGTTTGCTAATATCTTACCAGAATCATCTCTATTATGCTCGGCCGACTGGGAATGACCGTGGATGAATGCATCCGAGCGTACAGAATAGTTGCGGAGCGTGCTCTTATTCCTAAACGAAACACCATTATCCCCATACAATTCAAAGGAGCTTTATCTGCCCAGATGTTTGAAGAGGCTATTAAGGAGATGGTTAGAGAGTTTTGCACGGGCGGAGAAAGTGTGAATCGTGGGCACAATGGCCTCTCTACACCTCCGCGCGAACATTCTGATCTCCTCTTCCGCGACCAGGCGTGCACAAAAACGTAAGTTGTTTTTCAATGCAGAGCTTAGATTAGTATTAACAAGCAATAGAGTCGTTCTTGCTCTCACGAAGGACAATATCGACGCCGGACCTACACTCTTCCGGACATACGACAAATCAACATCGTTGAAGGATTGCACTATCTGGGAAGTGGCCCGGGCTATCTCGGCTACACCCACCTTCTTCAAGCCAATCAAACTTGGTAAAGAAGGGACCGAGTACATCGATGCCGGATTTGGGTACAACAACCCATGCGACAAGCTTATTGCCGAAGCTAGGAAAGTGTTCCCTGGACGTAGCGACCTGCAGATTCTCAGTATTGGAACCGGTCTCAGGAGCGTGGTGGAGATGAATGATACGCGCCTGTCAATCATCAAGGCGCTACATAAGCTGGCCCCGTCCTCCAACGAGGTAGCGGCCAGCTTGGACGATGAATATGGCGACAGCGGTCAGTATTTTCGATTCGACGTGGAACGTGGTCTAGAGAGGGTCGATTCGTCGGATTGGGATAAGGATAGCACAGTCGCTGCACACACGAACAATTATCTCTCCCAGAAGTCAAGGGCGATCGAGAAATTTGTGAAGACATTCTCGACAAGACGGGAGCAGTATAAACCTGATTCGCTTCAGTTCATGAAGACCCCTATGGTCAACCCTGCTTTACATAGCTGAATCGGCCTGTAACAGCCAGAGATCTATCAACAATTCCATTTATTGCAAATTCTGTCATTACTGGATGTGGGTTCGCAGTATTGTGAGGGATCTTGTTGTGGTGATGGCCTCAGGCCTCTATTATGCCTCAGGCATCAACAAATCAGCAGGTACGTAGTTAGATAGTCGGCAGATCCTGCCTTCCCATAGCAATCAACTCCTCCCCTCCCCACTTTCTGGCCTACAACTCTGTAGATGCCACAACAGATCTTGGCGTCCAAAGAGTTAGGGGAGACGAAGATGACATTGACCTGACTCGTCAGTATCCTAGCTTGAGGAAAGCTGGACCGTGGCTATACGTCGTCGATAGTGCAGATTATTTCGACTTAATCTTCGGAAGCGACAGAGTACCAGATCATCTGTGCAAGCACTTTCCGGCCAGCGAGACTGGTACTCTCTTGCTTACTACCCATTTCAGTCGGGTGGCACAAGACTTCACGACACAGATATAATCGAGATCTCGCAGATGGCAACGTGCGAAGGAATTACAATTTCGAGAAGACCGTGGCAAAAGATCTGATCCACAATCGAAAGATAACTGAAAGGCTACTGGAAGAGCTCAACCGGGTTGCCTTTGGGCCGTCAAACAGGCAGCCTACTACATTGGTTTCACCAATATAACGATTTCACGCTACCTTGACCTAAGCTCACGAAGAAGGGTTGGAGCCGAGGGAGTATATCGTCGCGTTGAAAGAGAGAACATTTAAACAAGGAGCACTCTGGATTAATTTGATGATGCTGGGAGGCATCAAACAGTCAAATTGAAAGCCCGGAAGTCTATTCTACTCGGAGGATACTTTGGCAGAGGACCGTGCTCGGATGCGATCTCCCCAGTACCAGAAGCACACAGGCACTGGGATCAGACAGACAGTCACGGCAGCCAGAATTGTCGTAGAATGGGGGACACCAAGCTTCTCAAACATCTGGGTGGCAAAGAGAGGAAATACAGCCCCGAATATGCTGCGCATCGACCCGTTGATCCCCATTGCACTGTTTGCCATTGTCGTATAGCAGTCCACAATATAAATAAACCCCTGGATAAAGACCAAGTACATACCACACCCTATTAAAAGACCTGCACAGAGGGGACTCGGCCATGAGATGTTCGGTTGTGCTGTCCACGCAAACCAGAATATTCCAATGGGGATGAGCACTCCGCCAAATATCATTGGTGGCAGCCGAGCTTCCGGAATGAAGATTCCATCGGAGGTATAGCAGTGGTGTTTGAAATAGACCAGGTTATAAATTATAATCCCTAGAGTGCCAATAAAAACGCTAGTGATTATCCCAAGGAGAGGCAGAGTGTCGACACTGGTATTCCAACCACGGATTTCTCCAAAGTAATATGGATAAGCCTGGTAGAAGAGAAAAAGAACACCGTAGAGAAAGGATTGATACAGGGTCAAAAGGGCGAGGATAGGCTGAGTAGAGAACAGCCCTATCAATTAGGAACGAAACAATCAGCAGCGAAAAAGGCGGAGCAGGAGATATTGGTCAAGACGTACAGAAAGGCCGTAGGAGATATACCCGTGCAAATTCATGAAGACCGGAGTGTTCCTTTTCCAGTTTTGAGCGAATGGCAGGATTTTTATATTTCTTGCGCAGTAATTGGGCTTCCTTTCGAAGAATAGCCGGGGGATAGGTCTCCGGAAAGACAAAGGCTGCTATAGCGCAAACTCCCAGCCCAGAGATTAACATTACCCAGATAGTCCAGCGCCAACTCAGTGACGATCCGACGATAGCACTTCCAACTATTGGACCAAATGTCGGGCCAGAGAAGAACAGGCAAATCACGATAGGCATTGCGACACTGCGGTGGGCCAGCGTAAAACAGTCGCTTGTGATGCCTCCCATGACAGCCACTGGAGAGACTCCAAAAAACCCAGCAAACAATCGACCAATAACAATAGTCTGTATGTTTGTACCAAGCGCAGGCATGAGTTCCAGAAAGGAGGAGATTGCGATGCCACCAATCAAAGGCCATTTGCGGCCGAACTTTTCTGAAAGTGGGCCAAATGTGAGAAATCCGAAGATATATCCCTTTAGAGGTGTCAGATAAGCATCAATAAAGTAAAAATGTGTTGGATATCTGCAACATACTGCCATAAACAAGGTGGTGCATAGAATCGCTACCTCTCTGCTAGCCCCAAACTCTGCGGCGACCCTTGTGTGCGCAGGGCTCATGATACTGCTGGTGATTGTTCCAATGAGATTGAACACAGATAACACGACGACTACAAGAACTTTCTTGGCCAGCGGCCAGTTCTGGGGAATTCGAGAGTCATTGGGATGTTCGAAATCAATGAGCAAATCACACCCCTTGGGCTCTTCTTTCTCAACCTCAACTTCTATGCCATCAGACCCCATCTTCTGTCAAGTTTGGGGACTAGACGGCCCCGATAGAAGGAAAGGCACTGTGACAGGTGATCGGGTGGTGAGGATCACAAGGATTTATAGAAGTAGAAACATGCCGGTGCAGTAATGAACTATATCAAAAAGAGCTCTTTGGTTCAATTCCCCGGGCAAACCGGGATCTTTCAAGTTCCCAACTTTCTAGGTGTTTTTTTTCTCTCGATGGAGTGGAGACACTGAATGTTCAACATCTAGTGTTGAAATGCTTTTGTGGGTCCTTTTATAGTCATTGTACTTGGTGTTCTAATTGAAGAATGGTCCAGTTTTCTCTATTTTCCTAGGCATAAATTTCCTCAAGTTCTCCATAGGAGCATTTGACTAAACTATAACATGCTCGAAATCCCACTACAGAATAGATACTGAGTGGGAATAGATCTTCGTTTCGAACAATTCCCAAAGGCCGTGAAATGCCCGAACAAATCCCGCGGGATCCTCTTATATAGGCTTGGCACTGGAAATTTACTTCACCGACCAATCAAATCCGGAAGGTGATTTGACAGCTTTTTCCAGAGATAAAGATCTCGGGAACTATTTCGAACGGCGTTTGCTTATTAGACTCACCTTACGCAGCCATATAAGGCTGAGGCTTCAAAATCCCCTTTGGGAAGGGGTTGATGCCTGAAAGCCTTAGATTAGAACGGCACAAAAACATCACACATACCTTGATAATCAAAGTCCTCTGACTCTACTGACGTTCTCAAGTCCAAGAATCGAAACTTGTGACTCTATATATCCAGGTATCTCCCTATTGCTCGGCATTTATATGCCTCAAAAAATGGGGTTTCAAATGAGCGTTATACCGCTGCATACTTGCCTCACACTGCGTCAAATATATATACCGTTCGAGCTCGTCCTAGTAGGTTTTAGTCTTCATCTCTTTCCCTCTTATATACTGTTATACCTTTTTCTATATATTTGTATTCCTCTATCTTCTCCGTCCTGGTGTTCTGATACAACTGCCACCTCCTTGCCACAAAATAGCGGTATAGAGTGCATTTGAACGTGTACTATGCCATCAAATCCATACTTGGCTACGGGTGACATGGCTAGGAGACCAATTTCAAACTATTTAGTACCTATTTAGCACGGTTATATATTCCAATACTGTCTAGCTATCTAAGTGCAACTGGCCTGCAGCAGCTTCTTAGGTAGCACGCTGATCGTATTTCTCCCCAAGTCCCTTCAAAACAACCTTCACCAAACCTCCTAATGTACCTGCTCGGTTGATTTCCACCGTAGGTATCTCCACACCCAGAGACCTCCGTAGCCAATTCCTAACCTCTATGGCCATGAGAGAGTCCACTGCAATACCGGCCAGTGCCTCAATATCGTCTGCAGAATCTTGTCCCTGCTCCTGATCCTGCCCCGTGAGATTGTGGTTGATAAACCTGCCCAGTTCCTTCATCAATGCAACCTCAGTCTCCTTTTGGCTTGTTAGGGAGGGATCTGCCTGTATCTGCGCAAGGAGAGCCTTTAGCGCATTTGCCTGAGATTGATCCCCGCCAATGTTAGCACTGGTAGACTCAAGGTTTGGATAAATCGAGAATCGAGCGTCGCGTCCACCGAGGAAAATTTCCTTGGGGAGATCCGCGCGGCGCCTCGTGTGCGCGAGTCCGATTGCAATTGCCCCGGTTGCATTATAACTAGCTGGGGATATTTTGATCGCTGCAGCCAGTCCATCAATCACTTCGGCTTCATGGAGCAAATGCAATGCAATTGATTGCACTCTCTGGACGAATCGGGAGTTGCGACTTGCGGCACCCACGTCTCCAACCACTCCGAGGTGCAAGATAGAAGATGGAAGTCCCTGCTGTCGTCGATACCTGGTGAATGCTTCCAAAAATGTATTTGCTGCGGCATAATTGGCCTGGCCACTGTTACCACATACGCCGCAAATTGAGCCAAACACAACGAAGAAATCGAGCGAGTGTTGCAATGTAGCATGATGCAGGTTCCAGGTTCCGGCGACTTTCGGTGCTAGTGCGGCCTCCCACTCCTCGTGGCTCATCTGCAGGAAGAGCCGGTCCTATATGATGTCAGAGATTATATTGTTTGGCAAGGCGTTAGGGTGAGAAAGGGAGAGAAAATCCTACATTCAAGTCAACTGCCATCTGGAGAACACCAGCGAGGGGCCGCTTGCATGCGGCAACAGCCTCCTTTACATCCAGGAGATTCCTCACATTGCCTGCCACACAGATAACTTGGCAACCTTGTGCCTCAAGTTCCCGAATAAATGCTTGATCCTCCTCGGACTTCCCAGCTGACCGCGAGAGGAGGATGAGCTCTCGTGAATTCTGCTCGACCATCCACGTTGACACGGATCGCCCAATACCACCGAGCCCGCCAATGAGCAAATACGCAGCGTCGGATCGGAATGTGGGGAATGCTTTCACAACAGGAGGAGCCAAGCTTTCCACGGAGGATGGCATACGAACCAAAATCTTACCTAGGTGAGTGCCGGCCTGCATATACCTAAATGCACTGACAATATCGATTGCGTCAAAGACTTTGACAGGATGGATAGGTCCGATTTTCCCTTGGCGATACCAGTCTGAAAATGTTGCCAGAGTGCTGTAATGTGTTAATTAGCTCTTGTCCCCTAAAGGTCAATTTAGGACAAACCTTTTGAGAATCCCCGGGGTCTCCTTGCAAACCTGAGCGAGGTCAACGCCGAAAAACGCTCGGTTCCCATCGAAAAGGCTCATATTGAGCATGCCATGGCTTATGAAGTCCCGTTTTCCCAGTTCAACCATCCGTCCGAACTTCGCAACGCACTCCCATGACGCATGTAGTAAGTTACCCGACAGCGAATTGAGCACCAAATCGACCCCCCTTCCAGCGGTAGCACGCATCAGGTCTGGTTGGAAGGAGGTGTTGCGAGAGTTGAAGATCCGTTCTCGAGGTAAACCGAAATGCTCCATCAAATGGGCTACTTTCTTATCGTTACCGACTGTGGCATAGATCTATATTGACTGATAATTAGCTTCACATAATTATATTAACCACAGAAAGATTGGCTGACCTCGGTTCCCACAGCCTGGCATACTTGAAGAGCAGCTAGTCCGACCCCGCCACATGCGGAGTGAATGAGAACGGACTGTCTTCACGTTAGTTGCCATCGATAGCTGAAGAGCGGAATAGTGACTCACCTGGCCCTTCTTCAAAGCACCAATCTCAAGAAGTGAGTAGAGAACAGTGACATAGGCTGTTAACATCGTGGCAGCATCTGCCATTGACAACCCTTGTGGTAGCTTTATACAAGCTTCTTGAGGCACTACAACGTTGGAGGCCAGAACCCCAGAATGCATCAAGATGACACGGTCTCCCACCGCCATGTCTGTCACACTGGGTCCAACTTGAAGCACAATCCCGCTGCCTTCGAGCCCAAGGTCTTCTTTATTTCCAAAGAATCCCATTGCAACCATCATGTCCTAAATATTGATCAACAAACTATGCAGTATCAGCTTGGAACGAGGAGGATTTACCTTAAAGTTCAGTCCTGCGTAGTCCATCTCAACTTCAACCTCTCCCTCATTTAACTCATAGGACGCCTCTTTCTCAGCCCAGTGTAGCGTATCTAATAACCCGTATGTCGTGAGAGTTAACTTTCGGGACGCATCTGAACGAGATGGGCTTGCGAGTTGCTCGACGAGAGGAGTCCAATGGTACCGCCCGACCTTAATCTGGCCTTCATGTAATGCAAATTCATACTCTGGTTCAGGAAGGGAGTGGGCTCGGGATCTTTGGATCTTCTCCCAAACCTGGATTACGGCCTTTGCCCCCGCCTCGTCCCATGCGGGAACCTCCAGAATTGAGAGATCAAGCATCAGCTCCGCCCGTAAAGTGCGAGCAAGCCCATGGACAAAGCCAAACATTGGATCCGAGCATGTGTGAGAGGTTGACTGCGTGACCCACAATATTTGGCATTCTTGCACCTGCTCTAGGTAGCGTTGGAATACCTCATAGTCATGCTTCGGCAGGCAACCTATTGGGACTCCTTCAAGATCCAGCAGAGATATGATGAATTTCCCTTTGGGCGGTGTTTCGTGCAGAGTAGCCCAGTTGGTGGTGCAGCCTTGGCCGCAGAACAGGGATTCAATATCACTTGCCCACTGACACCGAGTAGAACTGCTTGTTAACAGCCAGATATCGTTAGGAATGGAGATCTTGTCCACCGGTCGTGACAGCATGCTGGCGGATATATGATACGGCGGCTTTTGATCATATGCCGTTACATCTGTTCCAGTGAATCCTGCAGCTCGTAACTCCCGATCCCATCTCTCGGGTGAAATGTGCGGCTGGTCTGGTCGGCCATCATCCTCTCCCAGCCACCAGCCGGGAAATACGCCCTACAAAAATATATAAGTAAACAAATATTAGGACTAGAGAAGGCTGGCACCTACCATGGTGAAATTTGGCATTAAGATTTCTGTACCCTATTCAGCTTAGTCGTCCAACCTTGAGGGGGGTTGGCGTACCTGGGCTAATCTCATGAAGTAAAAAGTAACCGGTGGGCTTCAGGAGACGATGTACATGACAGAGCGCGGTGTGAAGACTGGGTGTAGCGTGGAGAACCTGGTGCAGAAGGCGAGTTAAATGAGTTGAACACTATTAGAATGAGGCACTGTAGTCAAATCTCACATTGGAAGCAATGATCAAGTCAAAGCTATGACCGTCAAACCCTTGTTCAAGGGGGTCTAGGGTAATATCAAGAACTTTGTATTCCATGCCCTGCTCATTACCGAATCGCTCTGTTGCCGCTGTCATAAAGCCTGAGGAGATATCAGTAAAAATATACTGACTATACATACGCTCCCCACTGGTGGATTTGAGAAGCTCTAGAGCCATGGCGGTTGCAGAGCCGGTACCTGCACCGATCTCAAGTATTCGTAGGACCGGGTTGGAATGGCAAAGCAGCGGGAGAAACGGGTTCCAATCCGCATATTGTGTATGCGCAGCATGGAAATGGTGCAATAGGTTGTCCTTCATGAGGACCTCCAATGGGCTGCTTTCTCCAGAAATGAATGCCGTGCAGCTATCGAAGACGGCCTGTAGACAATCCACAAGTGGACCATCGAAGGTAAATTTGGTCTCCGCTGACACGTTCCGTATCATTTCCTGTCTCTCTGCAGAACTTAGCAATGCCCACTGAGGCGACTCTGGGTAAATAGACTGTTGTCCACTTGTTTTTATATTGAAAGTTGTGTCCAGGATAAATTTCTTCCATTTTGCGGAATGTGATGAGGTTGGCTCGACATCTCGAATTTGGTTCGCCGTCTCCAGAACAAAAAGAACGGATAGCTGGCCCACGGCTTTGATATTCATGGCCTGCGAGGTATAATCTTGTGGTGTGGACAGAAGTGCTGCTGAGGGCAAGAAATCAATGCCCGATTTCCACTCAAGATGGCTTACCGAGCCCGCGAGTCCAGTTCCGGAATCTGTATTATCATTTTCCAACGCGAACAGGTAGGCTCCTTGAATGGAGAGCGCTACTCGATCACCAAGCATTGCAATGGCATCGCCCAGCTGACCATCTCTTGTGCCGCTCTTGGTTCGGGCGCTTGCTGGCATAGGTGGACCTCCAGGTCCAACGAACAAGTAATCTATCATAGCCGGAACGTAAATCGTTGTGAGATGTCGCAACAAGCCCTGGGAACAGGCCACACCCATAAGTTGGAGACATTGGTCAATTGCCGTGGGATGCAGCGCATATCTGCTCCCAGGCAGCCCACGGTTACCTAGAACAGTCGCAGTTGCTCTCGGCCCGGTGGGATCTGCTGTGATCTGCTCTAGGCCTTGGAACTGAGGACCGTAATCTATTCCGCTCCTTTGTAGGACACGGTATAAACTCTCAGATGGCACAGATCGCTTGTAGGAAGAGATTGGGAATGGCTCTGGGGCATGATCGGACCCAGCTCTTACTTGACCTTGGCAATGCAATGTCCATTGTTCTCCGTCATGGACCATGATTTTGAAACTGTACCAACCGGATGGGACTCTGTCAGCTACCTCAATTGGACTGAGACTAGTGACCATTTCGATCCGCTCTCCCTCGTGAAATAGCAGTGGTGTTATGAATGTCGTATTACGCACTGAATAACTATCGTGATCGGGATTCAGCTGCTGGACTGCCTCGCCTGCTATAGCGACAAATCCAGCCCCAGGGAATGTAATGGCTCCTTGAATTACATGATCCAAGAGCCAGGGCACATTGTCCAACGTGATCAAATTGCGCCAAGAGGGCTCATGATTGTTCGTCTCGACGACCCGCGAGCCTAGGATTTCATGATGTGGGAACTTGCGCTGCCTCCACTCCCTGCTAAGTCGACTCTCACTCCAGTAAGGACGATCATGTTGCCAAGGATATGGGGGAAGGTCTGTCAAAGTCTTTCCCGAGTCGATTATACTTGACAGATTGACTCCGATGCCACTAGCATAAGCCTGTCCCACTGTTCGAAGCAGCTGGCTTTGAATATCCTCGTCATACCTGAATAAGGTGGGGATATAGACTGGTGACCGCCCAGGTAGAGTCCGGAAGATTTGCCGTAGAGGGGCGGCGAGAGCCGAATGTGGCCCAACTTCTAGGAAGACTGGGGTTCCACTTGTAGGTAGACTCTGGATGGCCTCGGTGAACAGTACGGGCGATTCTAGATTCTGTCGCCAGTATGATGCATCTAGTTTGCGAGGGTCGGTGATCGTGTCGCCAGTCACACTAGAACAGAAAGGAAGCATTTCCTGCTCATGCTCAATATGCCTAGAGATACAATCTTCATACTCGGAGCCAATCTGTTTCATGTGGGCTGCAAGTAGTGTAAGCACAAGGGCATCAAATAAGGGCGCAGGAGGGCAATTTACCGGAATGATAAGCAATTTTAACCGTAAGTCGCCGACATAGTGTATCTGAATTTGCCGTCTTGATGCTTTTGATCACTTGGTCAACCGAGTCGTTATCCCCTGATAGGGTGACACTATTCGGGCTATTGCGGCAGGCGACAACCACCCCAGGTGTCAAGTACGGTACCACTTCATCCGGGGAAAGGCCGACGGCCACCATAGCACCCAAACCTTCCAGTGGCTTTGCGACTTTTCCTCGATAATAAGCTATAACGATAGCAGTTCTCATTGAAACGGCTCGGGCAGCGTACGCAGCGACAATTTCTCCGCTGGAATGCCCTATAACTGTGGATGGTTCGATTCCCCAGCCCCGAAGAATGTTTACCAGGCCAATTTGAAGCGCAACACAGAGAGGCTGAGAGAACTCAGCTTCGTGGATCCGTGAGATTGAACTCTGTTGGCTTAGTTCATCTAGAGGGTCCGTATGTTAGTCAAAGGATTCTCGCAACTTAAGGGATAGAACCTTCAGTCTAACCATATAATAACCAATTTGGGGCGTTAGGTAACTGTTGCAGTGCTTCATCCATCCTTTTGATATCCTCCTTGAATGTTGGAAAGCTAGACAAAAGCCTTAGCCCCATTCCGGGCCATTGAGCCCCCTGGCCTGTGAACACAAAGATGACATTTGGGGTGCTGGTATTGAATGTCGAAAATGCCGCATCATCTAAAATGGGGTTACCTGACTGCACCACGGCGAAAGCCCGGTGGGAGAGATGCAATCTTCTCGCACTCAAGGTGTAAGAAAGATCACGCAAGCGCACTGTGTGATTCTTTACATAGTCGGTGATTTGGCCAATGCGCCTGCGAAGAGTATCTACATTGTGCGCAGACAGGACCAAGAGCTGTGAATTGGAAGTTTCAGGTGATGCGTTTCGAGATTTTAGAGATATTGAAGAGGTGGACTCTAGAATAGCGTGGGCATTGGACCCTCCGATACCAAACGAATTCACGCTGATCCTTTCGGGCCTGCCGGTAGGCCACGGAATCGGTTCTAAGGGGACATGGAGATTTGCCTCGCTGAATGGAATTTGAGGATTTGGCGTTTTGAAATGGATATTGGGTGCGATAGTCTTGTGCTCCAATGATAAAATGGACTTGATGATGCTTGTGATGCCTGAGGCACCTTCAGAGTGACCGACATTTGGTTTGACCTGAGGTACAACATAAGTGATAAGTTTGGTTATAGGCGGCTCTGCAAATAGAGAATACTAACCGCAGTGATATATGTTTCTTCTCCTTCGGTCATCTTTGCAACAACCGATGCTTCGATGACATCCCCAACGGCTGTTCCAGTCCCATGGCACTCAAAAACAGGTGTTTCGTGGATTGCATCGATACTCGCAACCTCATAGGCGTGCCGGATCAACTTCTCTTGAGATATAGGACATGGTTGAGAAAAGTTAGGGGTCTTGCCGTCATGGTTGGTCACTGTGGAGCGGATGACGGCGCGGATAGGATCATTGTCACGAAGCGCATCCCGCAATGGTTTGAGATATATACAGTTGATCCCTTCACCACGTCCATAGCCATCTGCGTCAGCATCGAAGGTATGAGAGATACCACTTGGTGACAGAACCATATTCTTGGTCATGGCATCGGTCATGGTGGGACCCCATATAAGGCTTGTCCCGCCCACTAGAGCTGTTGAGCACTCTCCAGATCTGAGTGCTTGGCAGGCCTCATGCAGGCAAACTAGGGATGAAGAGCAAGCTGTTTGAATGGTTATGCTGGAAAGGGTCAGAGCTTTGCATTTTTGGCATAAAGACAGCGGACCGCACCCACCTTGGACCCAGCAGATCAAACCGATATGACACTTGGTTTGATAGCGCAAAACCACCGGTGGCGATGGGATATATCTGACTCAGATACTGGGGGTCTTTATGCGACATCTCTAGCCAATCTTCCCCAAAAACGCCAACAAAGCAACCGATTCTCTCACCGCGCCATTTTGTCTCCCCCGAGTTCTCCAGGCACTCCCAGACCACCTCTAGCAAGAGCCGTTGTTGGGGGTCTAGGCGCGCCGCCTCATGGGGGGGAACAGAAAAAAAGGAAGCGTCAAAATAAGCTGGATCTTCTTGCAAAAAGAACCCTTTTTTCGTTTCGTTCAGACCCCCACAATCGGGGCTACTAGACGCCTCTCTGGAACAGCGCGAGGAAGGCGCTTCACAAAAGCCATCCCGTTTCTGCACAAGCATTTGCCAAAATTCATCTCCAGATCGAACGCCGCCTGGTAGCCGCATTGCCATACCAATGACAGCTACTAGATCCCCAAAGTCCTCCTCGTGATTTATGCATGGTGATTGCCCTTGTCCAGTTGTTGAGTTCATTTTTGGTCGAATGATCGATAGTTTGAGACTGGATCAAGATGTCTGCTGAGCAGACAAGACAAATGTTGAACAAGGCTTTGGGCTCTGATATCAGAATGTATGGCCCTGTGACTATAGAAAAAATGCAGATTAAATTGGCGTTTAGGCCAGTCTACACACAATATGTACCTACATATCCTGGTTCTGCAAGATGCAAGAAAAGCATTTCCTCCGATATCCTCCGCTACCGGATGAATAGTATGTACCTAAATAGTTCTCCGGTCGTATTACCGGACACTACAAAGAGAGCAAATACGTAAGTAGTTCCAGCTTGGCTTCGGGAAGCATTGCTTTCTCGATATTGTTCAACATTACTCTAACCTAGACTTGCATATGTGTGACTGCAACACAACTAGTCACCGAACTCCCATCATAATTTTACTTGCCACATTGAGGCAAGTATATAAAATACCATGCATCAAATTAACAGGTAAGCGGGCTCATTGGTGACTTCCTCATTGGAGGTCTTCACCTTACATCACAAAGCATAGCTTGACGGGAGCATAGCATATATCAGGACCTCGGGTGGTGGTTTATCATCATTAAGATCTAGTGCTACAAAGGCTAGAACAATCAGAAGGAAAGCTCGGCTCAAAGCAGCTTACAACCCTCCGGATGTCCAACACAATTTCCTACCCTCCGGGTTTCCAGCGTAACCCACGCCCACTTAGATATTGAACCTCTGATGCGGCAAGCAATAGGCAGATCGGGCTAGAGATAGTCTGAGCCATGGTCGAGTACAACCCAATGCCCCTTGAGAGGCAATCCCCTACGCTGATTAGGCTGTTGCACCCCGTTATTCGGAACTAGACGCGTTGTGGTGGTCTTGATCAGTTGTTTCAACTCTATTCTGTGCCGACATTGCCGGTACCTTCAGTGGGTAATGAGACCCAAAGGAAAGAGAATAATATATTACTAGCCGTTAGACTCTGGCTTACAAACTTTAGCACGGGTTACTGTAGGTAATGGTGGGGTATGAGTCTGGTCTAATAGTACTTTTATCCAGGCATCTGATTGAAAACTAGGCAGGTGCTTTGTCTGCTTTCTCCCAGGGAAGTGTGTTAGTTCAACATTCATTGTTGTGAAAATACCCCGGGATTCCGATCCAGGACTAGCAGACAACCATCGACCAAGATGGACAGCGAATGGTTTCGAGGACAAATCGTCTTCCTCACAGGGGCAACTGGGAATCTTGGCGGCTGTCTCTTATACAAGCTAGCCATTCAACTTCCAACCGCCAAAATATTCGTCCTGATTCGAGGTTCTGTCCAAAAGGCGATCGAATCATGGGAGCAATCGATGCCAGAGCAAGTGGAGGATATTATCGCCACTTGCAAGATTCAATTCTTCCTCGGTGACATGACCCATCCTAACCTCGGTCTCTCACCCGACAACCTATCACGGCTACAAAATGAGACCACTGTGGTTATCAATGCTGCTGGCGACATTGCTTTATCTCGAGACCTTCCAGAGACTATACCAGTCAATTGCACCGGTCATCTGACACTGGCTTCTCTACTAGACAGTTTCACACAGCTGAAGCGCTTCCTACACATATCAACTACGTATGCCTCCAGCTTTCTCCCTGACGGCGCTGTCAAGGAGCAAATCTACCCCCTATACAAAGACCCAGTAGAGGAACTAGGGAAGATCCTCGTCACAAGAAAATCCCCCTATACAGAACAATTCGCGGCTCCCTATGCATTGGCCAAACATCTGGCGGAATGTTTGCTTTTGGGTGGTAACCACAAATTCCCTATCCTCATTGTGCGACCCTGCCTCATATCACCAGCTATTGCTGAGCCTTACCCACTCTACGGCAGCGATGGTGCCATACCGGTACACTCCTTCCTCCAGATACTCCTAGGAGACTCGGAGTATGGGCCTTTGAAGCTCGAGCCGAACCTCCCTTCACATGCAGCCTGCAATGAGATTCCAGTTGATCTCGTGGCGAGGATCTGTCTGGCTCATGTTGCCCAAGGAACGACGGGTGTGGTCCACGCCGGCGCCGACCTGTATATCTCCCGGTCAATTGGAGAATTGCTAATGCGGTTGCGCCTCTATGCGCCTGAGGGATCAGAGGATCAGGTACGAAAGGCTGGGATTGACCACGGAGATGTTACGGCTCCTGAGTTTTACACCATGATCCAACAGTTCGCACGGGACTGGAAGATCGAATGTACACGGTCTTCTCACCTGAAGCAGGTGGCGGGTCCGTTAGGACTAGATCTTGGCGATCATGACCCAGAGATATTCCTCAAGCTTCGTATCGAGCGGCTGGCTAAGACTCTGCTGGAAAAGCTGGAAAGTGCTAGTGTGGCAAGGAACAAAATCTATCCGATTATCTCTTGAAAGGTGTTGGGGATATGACTACCTGTTCATGATCAAAAGCATTAGTTATTAGGGCAATGGCAGTGATAAAGCTGGCTTGATTTCCTACAGTTCTAAGATCTTGTAAAGGAGGCGCATCTGAGGAAGAAACTAGGTGACACGGGGCCATGCGTTGAGTAGAGCGGAGCGTATAACGAGAAAGGTGCGGTGGGAAGGAGGCACAGTCTGGCAAAGTTGTAGATGGCGGTAAGCACGGTTGGGGTCTTCACAAGACTACACGAGTCAACCAGATGGCGGGAAGTGGGCTAGCTTCCTATTGCAGCATCCAAAAGCGACCATTCACCTGCAACAACTTCAGGATGGTGGGACCGATATGTAACATCCACGGTAGTCGATTGGCGGTAACACGAGCTTGTCGTTCTCATTGTACTGAATCCTGTCGCAGTATGGCAACCTCCGATGCTTAGGGTCCGCTTTGAGCGTCCGTCGAGCCTGTTTGTTCATGATCTCAACATGTTGAGAATCATGGGAGACGTCGTCAGTATCATCGCAGAAACCATGTCGGCGCTTCGAGTGACCGTGACAATCGTCGGGCGGTGACGTCCTTGAGATGAGCTGGGCCCGATTCGATTCGGCATCTGTGAGTTAGCAATGTGAACAGAAGGCTTGATAAGTAGACCTGTATTCGGGCTCCGAGCGGCCTGGTTGAGGGGCTATCTGTGGTCATCTGGTAAGGCTTTCCTTGTCGTGGTTAGAGTAGAGTTTCACGATTTCGAGGATACCTTCTCTGTCAGTAGGCGACTTGGCCAAAGTATGATTGGGAAGCGATAGCTAGGGCGATGCCGTCTGGGGCGCTAAAGAGCTGGATGCAACAAGTTCTGGTTTCACTGCAGCCTTAACTTTTGGTTCCCTGTCTAAGTAAGCCTCGGGGCTTGTGGGACTTGTCCCTTGGGGATTTGATGGCCAAAGTAGACAAACATATTCCAGCAAACCAGTGTCTCTTTCACGTCAAAGGAGAACAGGCTTGTGACAACTTGACCTTTCTGGCCAAGGTCTGAGCTACGGTCTCGTTCTTTGGGGGTAGACCTCCGCAAAGCCCATAAAGCCCACAGCCCAGCCCAGCCCAGCCCGCAAAACGGGCCCGGGGTTGGGTTGGGCCTCGAACGCTGGGCCCATAGCCCACTGTGGGCTGGCCCTTGGGCCCGGGGTTCAGGCCCATTTGTGGGCTTTGCGGAGATCTACGATTCGACCAGTCCAAAAGCAATCTGGCTGTGGATATCTCTCTGTCTCTCAGACCACGCGATATGATGGTTGATAGAAGCCGCCCTATAGTACTCGTGGGAATGTTGGAGACGAGTGTCGACGAAGAGGATTGAGATGGATAAGACTTGAGGTCCCTGTCATGGCTTGCTGGTGCTACGGAAGTTGTTAGACCAGACAACACTGAGACAGATTGTAGATGTGGTGCATTTTGAGTAGGGTGGCAAAGTAGATGTTGTCGATAACCCAATGTTCACGAATATACATTTATTTTACCATGGAGGGTCTGATGAGGTTAGAAATGGGTCTGCACCCGATTCGGATATATAGCCGCACCCCCAAACAAAATATATATATCGTACGGCCTCCCCTTCCATAAAAATGAAAGAAATTAGAAGAAACATCTGTATAAAATTGCCTCGGATAAAACGGAGCCGAATGTTTCCGTGACTAAGTGGCTTCTCCATCCTGAGCTTTGTAAGGCTGGCATTTTGCTTCGGACATTCCCGATTGTCTCCGCCCTTTTTCTTCTCCCTTCTGCCCCAGAAATCCCCAGACTCTCGAACACCCCGGACTCTGCCCATGAAAGAGTCAACATGGAGGAACCAGTCCCACCATTACGTCCTGAATCAAGAATGCCTGACACCTTCAACAGCGCCACCCCGCTTATCGAAGAAGAGGCCTTCTTATCGCCGGGAACATTCTCCAGCGCAGACGACTACGCAGCCAACCCCAGATTCCTCGAATTACAAGAAGAACTCCGCTGCGTACTTTTCTCCGCAGTAGCAAGCCTCGAGCCAGCAAACTACACAACCCCAGCTCCCCTAGAACCAGCAGAGGGGCCTCAAGCCCGACTCCCACGCCAAAGCCTAGACTTCACGCGGGTCATCTCAATCCCCAAAATCAGACTAATCTTCTACCTAAAAAATTGGATCACAGAATGCGCGCCGTACCTCGATAAATTCGACGAGGCGCGCCATTTTGGTGTCCACATTCCAATCCTAGCACAAGGCTCACCCGCCCTGTTCTACGCAATTCTCGCGTTCTCCGCACGGCAAACAGAGCGAAAAGCCTGCCTGGACAAAGCCTACGACAGCCTCGAGCTGTACCAAGAGTCCATCCGCCTCCTGGCACCATTGCTCCAAGCAAAGGACCCCAACGTCCTTGTGTCAGTATGCATCCTCGCCGTGATGGAATTAATGTCCGTCAGCCCGCGCGACTGGCGACGGCATGTGGAGGGTTGCGCCGCACTGTTCGAGTCGTTCAACGTGAACGGACTCTCAGGCGGACATCTGCAAGCCGTGTTCTGGTGTTATGCGCGCATGGAGCTGTGCGGCGCGATCATCTCCAACGGCGTTGAGAGTACAGTCCTCCCCCTGGAAAAATGGGTCCCAGCAATGCCGCAGGCTTCTTCGAAGGAAGCGCAAGAGGATATCATCCGCGACGCGTTCTGCGAAAATGGCCGCGCGGCCCCTGATATGCACGCTAATTGGGCGGTTTATTTATGCGCGAAGGCTTGCGACCTCTGTTGCCGTCGAACGCGATTCTTGGAATTGGGCGAGGCGTCTGATGATACGCGCCCGTTCTCAGAACAGTGGAGTCGGCTTTGGGAGGAGCTGCAGTACTGGCTTGAACAGCGCCCGCCTGCCATGCTGCCTATTAAGACTACGGGGATGGGCAGCGGACAGACCTTTCCGGAGATCCTGTTTGCACATTGGGCGGCTATTTCTGGGAACCAGTTGTATCATGCTGCGTCTATTATGATGCTTGATATGAGGCCTGCTGAGAGGGGGCCGCCTCCTTCCAAGCCGCATTTCTCGGCTATCTGGCATGCTCGTAGGGTATGTGGGATTTCGTTGACGAATCCTCATAGCGGGAACTTGATCAATGCTATCCAGCCACTTTACATTGCCGGGAAGTTACTCAGTCATCATAGTGAGCATGTTGAGGTTGCGAAGCTGTTCAAGATTATTGAGCGCACGACTGGGTGGGGTGCTTTGTGGCGCCTCAAGGATCTTGAGAGAGCTTGGGGGTATGAACCAGGGGAGATCTCGGGTGTGATCTGAGGTCCTTGGTTCAAATGATACAGTTCCAATCCTGTTACGGTTCAGTATCTTGCATTTGCTCCGACGCGATTGTTACCCTACGATGTTCGGAGCGCAGTTCAACGACCGGCAAACGACATGCGAAAAAAAAAGGGTACACAAGGATGAATTTGGTGGTTTACATTGCGACCGATGTGTACACGAATTCGAGTCCCCTCTCGAGGTTTGGTTCAGTCCAAAGTACTTGCAACACAGAACAAGATCTGCCCAACAAAATTCAACCGACCGGCCCTACTTGAAATCCGCACAGGTCTTGGGATACTGCAGAGAATGCATGATGCGGTACTTCAGCTTCTTAATATCAACCTCAAACGAAAAACTTCACCTTCCGAACACCTGGGGGTACCGATCATGTGTTGGTACACATGGACTTTTCAAAGTTGCGGCTGCCATGTAAAATATTCACTTCAGCTGTCGGGTCGACCTTTGAAGTTTCCTTCGGGAACTATCATGGTTCATTTATGCATTGAAGCATTGATATCGGCAATAAAATTACCACAGAATGACACTCACATCCGACTCGATTCAGTCGGCAAATACAAACCAGCATATCCACCCATAATCATGAGATCCTTGGCAAGTGACGCAAACTGCGGATCCATGCGCATCGCAAGCGCGATATCAGTCAATGCCCCAGCGGGGTAGATGGATACCTCCCCGGGATACTTGTGGGCCATCTGCACCATCCAGTTTGTTGCCGAAGGCGAGTTCCCCGGTCGGCCTGTCGAGAAGCCTTGCATGAAAGCCGCCCGAAGTCCGATCATTGCCTTCGGCTTCCAGCGTTTTATTCTCCGGCACTAATGCCCCCTCCCAGGGCAGCTCGACGTGTATCAAGTCCAATGCCCGGAAACGGTTGCGCGTGCTGATCAGCGGCCATGTTGCCCCAGGTAGACTGGAATGGTGCTTAGATTTGCGTCTTGGTCAGTCCCGACCAAGTGAATCGCCATTTGGAGCTTCCAGCTGTTGGCTGTATGTGGGGTTTTATTTGTATTTCGTCGCTGCACATTATCGCCATGATCTATGTAGGTTAATAATACCTCACATCGCCAACTAGGGCTATCAGGCACGGGATGAATTCAGCCGTAAACCAATCACTGTCCATGATGACGTAGTGTTTATCCGGACGCGGGGTAGTCCGTACCGCAAGACTGTTTGTGACGAAAGGGAGCATTAGCTGCATAGCAGATCGATGTGGAATAATGCTTTGCAGGGCCAAGGAGGAAATGATACTTAGTGCGTATATTGCATAGAGCACCTATCAAGTCAATTCAATGGTCTGATTGCTACCTGGACAGTGCTACCTGGACAGAGTATCCCGAATGATTGGTCCTAAATACCATCTTGAACACTAAGATCATGTTTTGAGGTCAATATCTCAAACCCCTAAGCGAGCACGGTGGCTCTGTTTCCCCAAACGGAACGAGTCACACATCTACACTTAGGTTTTACCCGACACCATAAGTCAGGATAGGCCGTGCATGGGCCGAAAGACAAAATAGGAAACCGATGCAACCCGAGATGTCCACTTCTTTCCCGTCCCCACCGTCGGGACCATTCTGGGAGATTGGAGGCTATGTACCCCCAATCGGGTTTAGCGGGCCAGTTCCTCCACCATTTTGCCTCCACAAAACGACGAAAATTGGGGATCCGGGGGATATTAGCCCATGAAAATACCGAGAAACTGGAGAAGTTCTATGGGGTTTGAGCCTTTTTTTCTGCTTTGCACGTGGTGCCACTCGGACTATGACAGAATTAAACCAACTCCATTCAATGCAATCCAAAAATGGGCGTATATAGAGACCCTCCTTCCCCCATGTTTTCAATTCCCCAGATTTCATCTCCTAGCGCTACATTGGAAATTCCGCTTCTCCAATATTCCCTAACATGACAATGCGATCATCCACTGAGGTGGAATCCACCCCGCGAGTTGAATTGGCGAAGAAATCCATGTGGCAGTCTATCTTCGACAACCCTAAAGTGCTAGCAATTGCCTTCTTTGCCTCGTAAGAATCCCCTCTCTTCAAACCCACAAACTCAATTCTAACACCCCAAGATTCGGTGGCTTCGAATATGGCTACCAACAAGGTGTCCTCGGCCAGTCCCTGGTCATGACCCGCTTCACAGAAAACTTCCCAACAGTAGTAGCCTCATCCACCGCAACAGGCTGGCTAACCTCCGTCCTCCAATTGGGCGGTATCGTCGGCTCCCTGTCGGCCGGTATCCTGGGAGAAGTCTACTCCCGCAAATACACAATGTTCTTCGCCTGCTGCTGGGTCATCCTCGGCAGCTATCTGTATATCGGCGCGACTGCCGGCAACCCGTCTCTGCTGTACGCGGGCCGATTCTTCACCGGCCTTGGCGTCGGCTTGTTCAGTGGTGTGGGGCCTCTGTATAACGCCGAACTGGCGGCAGCTGAAATGCGTGGTCTGCTCGTCTCGTTCTACCAGTTTGCTACTATTCTCGGAATCATGATTTCCTTCTGGGTTGGATATGGTAGTAACAATATCGGCGGCACGGGAGCTACGCAGACGGATCTTGCTTGGCGTTTACCTTCTATTATTCAGGGTATTCCTGCTATTGCGCTTGCATGTGGTATTTGGTTCATGCCTTTCTCGCCCCGTTGGCTGGTTAAGCAGGGTCGTGACCAGGAGGCGCAGGACACCATTGCTTGGATGCGGAAGCTCACTGTTGATCATGAGCTTGTCCAGATGGAATACCTTGAGATTAAGGCTGAGGCTGTCTTTGAGGAACGGGCGTTTGCTAAGGCTTCGCCTAAACTTGCGGATAAAGAGAAGAAGAGTGTCTTCATGAACCAGATCGCGCAGTATGCCAACTGCTTCCGCTCGATGGATAACTTCAAGCGTGTTTGCATTGCTTGGTTGGTTATGTTCTTCCAGCAGTGGAGCGGTGTCGATGCTAGTAAGTTGACTTGTTTGAGAGATATCGGGAATGTCGGGTTAACCATTACGCATTAGTTATTTACTACGCCTCCAATGTCTTCGTCAGCCTCGGACTTACTGGCGGTACGATTGCTCTTCTGGCAACCGGCGTGACCGGTGTCGTTTTCCTCATCAGTACAATCCCCGGAATGTTGGTCATTGACAAGTTCGGCCGCAAGCCCATGCTTCTGGGTGGGTCGATTGTTATGCTCGTTAGCATGGTCATCGTCGGTGTGATTGTGGCCAAGTTCCAACACGACTGGCCTAGCCATGTAGCAGCCGGCTGGACCGCTGTTGGTGAGTACCAAACCTACATCTGAAAAGCCGTCACTCCAATCGCTAACTCATCTGTTCTAGCTTTGATCTGGCTATATATCGCTGGCTTCGGCGCCACCTGGGGCCCCGTTTCATGGACTCTCGTTTCTGAGATATTCCCGCTTTCCATTCGCGCAAAGGGTGCTTCCATCGGCGCTTTCAGCAACTGGATCAACAACTTCGCTATTGCTTTCTTCGTTCCCCCTATGCTCCAGAACTGGCAATGGGGTACCTATATCTTCTTCGCCGGTTTCCTCGCCTGCGGCATCGTCTGGGTTTGGTTCTTCCTGCCTGAAACTAAGGGCGCTTCTTTGGAAGATATGGATCGTGTTTTCAAGAGCAATGCCGGCGAGCAAGATGCTGAACTCCTCCGAGAAGCGCAGCGCGACGTGGGTTTGACTTCGTTCCTTGAGCGTATGTCGGGCAATGGCGGTGATCTCGAGAAAAACGAGAGATCGCAGTATATTGAGAAGGTTTGAGCGGGTTCTAAAAATGGGCCGTAGCTCAAGGTCGCATTTAGTTTATAATTCAACGTTTACGAAGTCAATTCTTTCATGTAAAGATCCGCTTGGGTACGGTCTGTCGAACGCTCTGTTTAGCGCATAAAGACCCAGCACAGCCATTCAACTCCAGGTTGATATTTCCCAGAAGTAGATGAAACTCATAAGACTCTGTCCTTCTTCCTTTCATATTCCCTTTGCTTCTCCCTTTCTTCATTCCTACTTTCTTCCCCTTTCCCATGTCTAAAACGGCGTCTCTGAGCCGGATGGGAATCTCCTGTCTCCCATCACAACTTTGAAATATTTCGACCGTGACGTGTGACTTCTAAGATTACCGGGGTAGTCGTGGAGATTTCTGGTGTGTGATATGGACTTTTACGACTTATTGGAGGGTGTGATACCCGTACGGATCAATAGGTTGGAAAAGTCGTAGCCGCGAGAAAGCTGAAAGACCGAAAGAGCCACTGAAGAGTGGGCTAATCCAAGTCATCACGAAACCATCATATCTCTGCCATGGATGGTAGATATCTGTGACTTATTGGAGGCTACCAATCGGCAGGATGTTCTTGCGCAAACATGTATGGAATATCTATGAAGTCTCAGTATTTCCGTCTCCTATTTTCAGTAGAAATAAAAGCGTTTAATCAGTACCTGTAATAATACCTTTCAAAGCATACAACAGATTAATGCCCGCCCTGCCATAATCGCCCACCGTAGCCATTGCTGTTCGCCCCACAGGCTCAAATGATCGGCCACCTCCGGCAGTCGAACACATATTGGGACTGCGGAGCCTCCGTTCATTCTTTTCTGCAACATCTGGGGCAATGCCATATCACGTTTCACCATGCCCAGAAAACCCACACCCGCAGCGAAGCAGCGGGTTCGGACTGGCTGCTTGACCTGTCGAAAAAGAAGAAGAAAATGTGCGTGTCACGTGGTTTGCCCTTTTATTTTTGCCATCAAAACTGACGGTTTGACATTGTAGGTGATGAGCAGAAGCCCAGCTGTGCTAACTGTGAGGTTAAGGGCCTCCGGTGCAAATACAGCTCTGATTTGGCGTTTGTGCCGCAGCGCGAGGGGGGCGTTTCCGGTGCCTCAAGACAAGCGTATAACAATATTACTGTGAGTACTCCACAACGCATTCAATTTTTTTAGTCTACTTGACAATGTGATATGGACATGAGGCTGATTCTGATCAGTTTGTCGATGACTCGCCCCTTGCAGCAGCAAATAAGGAGAAACCAAAGGCTCCACAGCAACCTACAGATGATTCCCAGAGCGATGGCAACACTGGTTACTCTTTAGACGAATTGCAGTCTTCGGCTGATGGCCCAGATGACACCGGGGATGTCCGTCGTGCTTTTGAATTTCAAAACATTCTGTCATCCGCAGTGCCCAACGTCAACCTTTCTGATCCTCCAATCCCATTTGCCACTGAACGGAGTGCGCCAGGTACTCGATACATAAACAGTGCTCCGTACTTTGGATACAGATCTGTTACAAAGAATAGAACAGTTGAACGACAAGTGGCTCTTGCAAGTGGAAATCATGAGACTGACTTGCTTCGACATTTCCGGTACCATGTCGGTCCTTGGATCGATACCGGGGACCCGGAGCTCCCATTTGGTCTGCAGGTCCTTCTGCTCTCGCGAACCAACAGAGCTCTACAAGCCGCGGTCCTTGCGTTGGCTGCAGGTCAGCGACTTCTCGTGACAACCCCGAGTAGCAAGGACCTCGAAAGTAGCCAGAAGTTCCGAAAGGAAGCAGAAGAGAGTCTACCACTTGAATATGATCTGACTAGATATGCTGGTCATGCCCTCTTGATGCTTCAAGATGCTCTGTCTACTGGACCGCAGCAGTGGAGAAGCCTATTAGTTGACATTTTAGAGCATATCAGTGACTTTGCATCACGAGCAGTGGGAGAAGAGGTTGGGGATGCTTTGCTGTGGCTTTACTTTCGACTCGGTAAGGCAGGCTCTAATATTCCCAACAAATTAGCTAGTAGAACTAACACGGCGTCTTTTGCAGATCTCGCAGGCTCAATATCCTCTTCAAAACCACCGCTTATGCCCTTTCGATCATTATTACGGCGAGATGGGACCTTATTACACCACCAACAATCTATGCGGCCTCAGACCGTCAATTCCGTTTACAAGCACATACTGTGTCTTCTGGGACACTGCTTAACCCTAATACACGGTGACCGACAGACATCCTCTCCTCATACAGTCACATCACCAAATCTAGCAGCCTTCCCATCTTTACGACAATCCCGCTCCCTATCACAATGGACGTTCCTCTGGTCGGACTGCCAGAAATGGTACAACGAGCGACCAGTAAACGTGCAGCAGATCGTGGACATCCGCGGCGGCGAAGCTGACCAAATTGACCCTGACCACGACTCCTCGTTCCCAATCCTCATCTACACAACACCAATGGCGCTGGTCGCCAACGCTGTCTACCATATGATTTCTCTATTATTGCTTACGCATAAGCCGCGACTGTTGAAATCACTGCCCGGACCAAGGTCCGTCACCTCGCATATCTGGCATGCACAGTCGATCGCTGGGATTGCTGCAAGCAATGACTCCCCCGAACAATGGGATCCGGTATTGGTTGCAAGTCTTCTCACTATTGCGAAGGAGATGACACATGAATCCCAACAAGCGGTTCTACTAGGACGTTTTTCCAGAATCACAGCTACAACGGGCATCAACCTTGACCGAGAGACTAATGCGCTTCAAGCGGCGTGGAACCTGGCGCGATACGAGGAGGAATTCGATGATGAAGCTGACGCTATGATCTCATAATTATACCCAAAATCTCATTTCTATTGATTCTTGTTTTTCATCAATGGAGCCTATTTTACATCCCATCGTTTCATACATTCATTCCATATCGTATGCAAAGGGAATACTCTGCATAGCACCTCGTCGCTGCACACACATAGCAGCAGCAGCATTGGCCGTTGAAACCGCGCCCTCAATTTCCTCATAGAAAGCCCCAATACCCTGCCCGGTAGCCAAGAACCGCGCCACAGCAGTCGCGAAATACCCAACAAAGGTATCCCCAGCTGCAGTAGTATCAACCACCTTCGCAACCTTAACACCAGCAACAATCCCAGTCCGACCGGACTTCGTCGAGAAATAAACCCCCTTCGCACCCAGCGTAATAACAACAATCTCAACGTCCGCGCGCTCATGGAACCGCGGTGCTAATTCCTCAGGCCGTAACCCATCCCCCTCAACAGCATCCCCAATAGGAAGACCCTCAATAGATCTCGCCATCTGCACAACCTCCGTCTCATTCATAATAAGCACCGCAGTGCCACGCAGCGCGGAAAGCGGAATCCCCTCTGGAAACACAGGCGCGGGATTGAACACCACTTTCGACCGGTCCGTGACAGAGCCATCATTGAAATACTCCAACAAGCCCAATGTCGTGGTGCGCGGGATCTCACCCTGCAACACGACGATATCGGGCGTAGACGGATAACTCTTCAATGCAGCGAGGATATTTTCAACATCGCTCAGCAATCCTGCATGGTTTGCGCCTGGGACGACGAGAATACGATTCTCGCCGCCGATGGCTTCTTCCACGATAATGCTTGCGGACCCCGTCTGGGCGACCGTCGATTGTTCAATGGATGTTGTGTCGACGCCGGATTTCTCGAGCGCTGGTTGTAGGAGGGTCGTGTAGTATGGGTCCTCAGCGCCAACGGCGCCGATCATGTTCACGGAGGCATCTTGGGTTGTTTGTGATGTGAAGGAGGAGCGGCCGCACGCGACGGCTTGGTTTCCGCCTTTGCCGCCTGCTGAGACGGTTAGGGAGGTTGCTGTGAGGGTTTCGCCTGGTCCTGGGCAGCGCGGGGTTGCTGTTACGAAGTCGATGTTTAGGGAGCCGATTACGGTGATTTGGGGGTTTTTGGCGGATGGTGGGGTCGTGGTTGGGGTTGTTTTCGACATCTTCGTGGGTTGTGGTGGTATGGTGTTTAGTGCTTGGCGGGGTGGGTTAGGAGTTTTGATGTGGGCTGTTGCGGGCGAAAATAAACTGAAGCATGTAGAGGGTTCAAATTATTTCAATATATGTCGCGCCGCGTGACCTTTCTTGTTTTTTTGCTCGGTCGGGATCTCGACATTCGGCATCCCAAAGCCCCATTCATCTCCCCACGTCCCGAGGTTTATGTTGTACTTAAGTTGCCTGATGTGGGAGCTGTAGGCTATGCTCCTCCCGAACAGGCTAGCCCGGGTCAGTATTCCGCCAAATGCAGCTTAGCGCAGGAACGACGCTGACTGGAAATGGAAGTGGCCACATTAGGTAGGCATTACCCCGGAATCTGTTGGTTTACAACCTTAGGACCTACATATGTACCTACCTAGATATACCTATGTACAGAATGGTGGAAACATTTGTGAACGTACCGAGTCAACCGCATTAAACCAATTTGCCAAGCTGCCAAGCGGCCATATCGGTGACATCATCGCCTATCTAGCCCAGGAGAGCGGATATCTAGTGTTCATACTTAGATTACTGAATTTGATATTAGAGTAAGTACTCGACTCACAGTCATACATGACAATGGCTTGAAAGAAGCAAATAAGCTAACATATGGATAACTCCCCGACCAGTAACCCAATACACCAATCCATGCAAAAGCAAATCACTCAGTTCATCTTGACTTGGAACAAATACCGCTGTCGGATCTGCGCAACATCATACACAATGTACTCATTGTAGTACAGACATTGACTTCCACTCTGGGTGTTGCCGATAGCCACATCAGGCATCGTCACACCCTCCAACGCTGGATTCAAACATCCAGCATCCTTCCACCCACCAGGAACACTCGACCCCTTGCCGAGTGTCGCAATTTTGCCCTCAGCATGCGCTAGCTCGCCAGCGTTGTAGTTGCTACTTCCAAGCTCTAGCATGGGGGAACCGAGCTCTGCATCGCAGAGGAGAAGTAATCCCATCCCCCGACTGTTATAAGGACAACAGTAATTTGCGGATTTGCTAGATGTATCAGCTAGATACACACCCTTGCCGAACATGTATCCGTTGACGGGTGCTTCGGGTGGTGCGATGCGAAGACCTTGGCTGAGAATACCACCAAAGTTTGTGCTGCGGGATCCGTGCCAGAGGAGACGGCGGTCGCTGTTTGGGATGTTGGCATAGGGGGATGCGTTGAAGCGGTCGTTTTCGCCTTGCCGCTCGATGCGGAAGATGTTCACGACCTTGTAGTTCATGCTGTGTGTCTGCCCGCGAGAGTTCTGGAGGTAGTTCTCGAGTTCGACGAACTCGTTTGATTTGTGGTCCACTAAGCGAGGTCAGTTTGGTGATATATTGCACGTTTGGGAATTGGTACTCACGTTCTGTCATCTCCTCCATACCCAGACTCTGGAACTGGCGATCTAGTGGGTGGGTTTCATCGTGGTCTTCCTTGGACGATACCATGATTTCATTCGCAACGTCCATGTCGGTCAGTGCCTCCAGCAAATCGATTTCTTTCTTGATCTGCACGTTCGTATTCAAGGTCGGGGGTCGATGGCGACCAAAGACGTGGGGAATCAAGGTAAAGTATCGGTTGCTTAATGCCTCTATGGCATCACCATATGATAGTCCATGTTTTTCTTGTGCCAATGTTGGTGTAGTCATGAGCTCGGAAATATCTTTCAAAACCAAGAATCCACTTTTCAATGTCCTGTCGCTCAGCTTCCCCAATGGCAGTTTGTGGGCATCGTAGGACATTGCGGCCAATGTATCGAGGACGTTTTGTTTGTTGAAGATGAAAGACATGAGGTTTTGAAGCCCTTTGGATAAAGCACTCTCGACCGGGGGGTTATCCTCTTCTTCCTTGATAGTTTTCTCCTTTTTAACGGGCTCTTCCTCATCATCATCCTCCTCGTAGTTGCGCTCAAGGAACGTGTACTTTCCGTTTTTAGGAGTATCGAGCCGGTTCTCCCATTTGAGGCCCGACTTGTCTTTGAACTTCTTCTCATAATGTTGCAACGCGGCCGCCAAACCACCGTCCCCGAGACAGGCTGACTGCCCATGCTCCCCAACTCGACCCCACCGTGTCCAGGTAAAGTACTTCGAGTTTGTACCGACCAACAGTTGAACGCGATAGAACTTGTTGGCATTGCTGGATGCCACAGTCTGGCTCAGGGTAGCGTCCCAGATGAGGCCTGCACTGTCAATGTAGACCTTGGGGTCTATCACAAGGGGGTGTCAGCTTGTCTTCCATGCCTAAGTTCTCGCATTGCAGACTTACCCTTTAGTTTACCCAGTTCCTCGAATCCATCATCGATTGGGACATTAAGGGCCTTTATGGTTGTCTTTTGGATGTCCTTTGTCTTTTTGTTGGACTCTTTCTTCACAGGGTCTTCATCCGCGCCTCGCTTCTTGGCTTCAGGCTTCTTATCCTTAGAGGACTTGGCTTTGCCATTTGTTCCATTCTTCTGGGTGTCGTTTGTTGTTTTGTCAGCATCGTTTACAGCAGAAGCCGCATCCGCGCCTCGCTTCCTGGTAGTACGCTTGTTGTCTGCAGGAAGAGAGGCGGTACCGTCCGCAGTCTTGTCCTGTGTGTCATCGTCTGTCTGGGACGTCTGATTGGATTGGCCGAAAGAATACTTTGACTCCGATAACGGTTTCTTGGCTTGGTCTGATTCAAGAAGCCACACAAGTGGCACGATATGACAATTGGCGAGCTGGGAAGCTTGTTTGTCTAGTGGATTGATCAGTAAAATGGTCCCGAGTTCGTGCAGTGCTACCTCGAAAGTTTGAAACAATGACTGCTGCTTGCCATCCAACACCGTCTAAACCTGTCATTTCTGAAAATGGCGTGCGGGGCCAAAGTATCTCACACATGATCGCTATCATCCCCAACACGGTTTGTCACCGATTTGAGTGTTAAGATTAAAGCACATAGGGGTTTCAAACTTCCGAGGTTGTGTCTGTGGTTGTGCACTCACATTTGGTAGTTTGCTTCTCCACATCCTTCTCAGTGGTCACCAGATGGGTACAATCATCCGTGACCGACGTGCTGAACGTCGCTCCATTCTTCTCAATGAGCGCTTTTAAGTCCGCTGTGAGTAGTATAATCGTCAGCATATAAGTCGTGGAGAGCTATACAAAGTCCGCCTCGGCTCTTGGGAATAGGGGGCTCATACCCTGTCTCAGATTGGGAAACGTCCCGCCCACGGAGATGACAAGTTTCTTGAAACTTTGAACTGGCATGATGTTGCTTAATTGCAATGAACAAAAAGAGGACTAGGTATGAAGAGTGAAGAGTAGAAAATAGGAAGGTAGAGTATGGAGGGGGTCGAGTACGAGGCTGAGGTGTACAATGTAAGAGGAGAGCTTCCCAGGTGGGAGCAAACAAAAATGAGAAAGGCGCAAGATGTGATAAAAAAAAAGCATAACAGAGCAAAGGAAGGAACAAGTTGCCTTTTAAATAAAAAAGAAATAGGAGAGGTTGTTCACAGTCAAGGTATTTGGCCTGAGGGATCTGGCAGAAATGAGGCTGCTGCCTGTGTTAGCGTCAGGCAGCACAAGGCAACACAAGGCAGCACACCTTCTTCTGTGGGGAAGATTCGATCTGTCCACGGGTTTAGGGTTAGCTATGTAATATATCAAACATAATTATATAATGTGAATCATCTGACTACTGACTCCATTACTCACTATGAAAGCTGCCCAGGAAATGAACCTTTGGACTACTCCACGGCTAATGTTGACATATAACCACCATACTAAGCCTAATGTCCCGACTGGTTCAGGAGTCAACCACCGTGGCGCTAATCCAACATCCAGCCAACCCGTTAACATTGGCATGAGGGGGGATTTCTGCCCATGTCCTTGAACACTACACTGTTCACTGGGGCAATAGAAAATACATCCAACACAAGTATCAAGACACCCACAATGACAACTACTCCCACATTTCGCCTTAACCATCCACAGCTCGGCAGCCTTACTGGCCGACTGGTCGATCAACATCATGCTGATGGACAACTTGTGACTGACCCCGTCGTGCATTTCCGTTCCATTCCCTATGCCACTATCCCGGCTCGTTTCTGTCAGAGCATACTGCTCGATCATATCCCAGATCACTTTGATAACCGTCCTCATGGCGACTTCACACAGTATGGTGCTGCGTGTCCACAGGTGCCACAGCCTACGGGCAGAGGTAGCGCGACAGGAGGATTCGTGCCTGGTGAGGAGCCAACCATCTATGATGAACAAGCATGTCTCAACTTGACTATATCGACACCTGCAACTAATGTCCTCGAGGAAACCAGCCCATCAGTCCCCAAAAGGCTGCTCCCAGTTCTGGTGTATGTGCATGGTGGTGGTTTCATTGAAGGAAAGGGTCATGTCAGCGCTCTACATGACACAACAAAGATGACTGAGCTGGCGGCTCATGAGACCATGGATGTGGTGATTGTGTCGATAGGATACCGGTTGAATTGGCAGGGTTTCACCGCCTGCTATGATCTACTTAACGAAGCCAGGGAGAATGGCGAGCCTGCATTCAATTACGGGATGCGAGACCAACGCACCAGTTTCCTTTGGATCCAGAAATACATCGCAGGATTTGGCGGTGACCCAAGTAACATCACGGCATTCGGTGAGTCAGGTGGAGCAGCCTCGATCTACATGCACGCCTGTTCAGACTTGCCTCTGTTCAACCGAGTCATCATCCAGAGTGGCTCGCCCAGTGTCGTAGGTATCTGGACACTCGAAGAGTGCGATGCATACTATCACCGTCTGCTATCATATCTGGGCATCGCGGAAGCGACGCGGGCAGGGCGTCTCAAAGCCCTCCGTGAGGTGCCAGTGTCGCGGTTGGTTGAGTTTATTCGTGACAACAATATAAGGACAATGAAGCCCTACCTTGGCCCAGAGAGTGGGTTCTTCCCTCAGCAGCCCTTTTGGTCCAATCAAGGCGAGATGTTGGCCAACTGCCCATGGATCGATGAGATCATGATTGGGGACGACTCATGTGAGGGACTTGGACTTGTACTGGCGCTGAAGGGCATCTCTGTTAGTCCGTACATTGCAAGAGTACGCTCCATCCTCGGTGACAAATCAGCACGCCGTGTGCTGGACGCGTACGAGATACATGATGGTATGGATGAGGGCCTCTTCTGGCAGCATGCGATGGTTCTAATAGGAGACCTGATCTTTTCTGAACCGACGCACTCAACAGCCATCTCGGTAGCTAAGAGTGGCCGGAAGCGTTTATATCGCTGGCAGTTTGGTCTACCAAATCCTTTCCCCGGGTCGCCTTTCTCATACGCGGTGGGACATCATTTTGTCGAACTCATGTACCAGTTCATGACACTTGCTGGGCGTCTCCCTACGCACCGCAACCATTTCCTACGGCGTCAAGGGGAGGAGATGGCGCGCAGTTGGATTCGGTTTGCTAATGGACTCCCGCCAATGCCTGGTGCGAAGCCATATGATCTAAAAGAGGGCAGCATCATGGTCTGTGATATGCTGCAGGGGTGGACAGTGCGGACTAGAGCGGAGGATGAAGAGATCAGCCGGAATGACCCGTGGGGACCCCGGCGGTACCGTCAGTGGGAAGTCTTGAGTGAGGAGTTCAGAAGAGCCGGACACTCCGAGGATGGGGTTCAGTTACAAAATGAAAGGATTGAGGCGAGGAGAAAGGTGTTGCTATTATAGGATACACCGGAGACGCGTGGAGATCAAGTATAGTTTCATATGAAAACAAGAATAGTCTAGGTATCAACCTGTAACTGTCGGATCAGAGATAGAAATGTAAGATGATTATGAATACAGCATCTCTAATTATATGATATCCTATCTTCACTCTCTTGTCCATTTTCTTAGACCGAACTCCATATCAACCAATTCATTAAAAATTGGATGGCAGTACAGCTCTTCTTTCCAGTCTCGATCAAATTATTTTTGAACGGACAGTTTTAATACCATTAGAATTTAGATGTTGTGAAAGATGCCCGATGTTCGAACTATGAGCCCCCGAAGTCAATTATATATAACAGAATGTGATATGAAGCATGCGTAAATCTGAGGGACTCTCGGCCTTGGCGGCCAATGGAGATTGCATTATATGGTAGCCTGCATATCCTCATTAGGCTAGAGCAGGCAGTCGTAGTTGATATTCGGGGCTGTTTGCATCGAAGCCGACGGGATAAGGCATAATACGGGACATGAGACAGGACATGATACAGGGCTTAGTTCTGTCCTATGGCATCGAAATCCTACTGGACTATGTCCTTTCCATCACAAGTCCATACCAAGGCCCAATGTATGGCCAGTCCAGTCTGTGAATATGGCGCTGATCATAGAAGTACAGTACCAGATGGAAAATTGAGTGCCAAGACGCACCTAAGCGAACAGTATCTTGCCGTACCAAGTACCGAGGACAGTGTGATTTCTATCTAAGCGTAGATATCCCTTGGTATAAAAATATTACCGCATTAATATTTCGTTCATAGTCTTATTGTGGTGGATTATCCTTTTATACTGACCCTCTGCCGTGAGGGCGGACTTTCCGTTTTGGGACACGGTCGCCGCTCCACTTTTCGTTCCCGCCCCCGACAGGGAAGAGCCCGTAACGACCTGCCAACAAGCTGAATGAGACATGAGAATCATTCACAATGGAGCTGACTTTCTTAATTAATCGAGATGGAACAAATACCAAGAGGGGACATGCACGCCGGGCGTGTAACTCTTGTCGCCACAAAAAGGTATCGCGTTCTCTCCCGGATAGCCCTTCAACAAACGGAGTTGTATGCTGACTTCCCTAGAAACGCTGCTATCACAATATCTCCGAGGAGCAATTAGCTGATGGGACTTCTTCGCCTAAAATCTCTAGTGTCACAAGTAGGCAAAGTCCTGTATCTCAGACTTCAAGACGGGATGCAGCAGTCCGAGATAGATCTGCATCTCCAAGAGGTGAGCGACCAAATGGGTCTTCGCTTCATAATCTGGTGCAACAACGGGCCGAATTTATCGCCCCTGATACAGGTCCAGCTGCAGAGGTCGATCAAGAATCTCGTCGTTTTGCGTGCGACTCACACCCTGTAGCGACACTCATGGAACAAAACGAGTCAAGGTTGAAAGAGGGTCGATCCCAGAAAGGAGATGTTGGTGCATGGCTGGGTGTCGAGGAGAGCTCCGTTGACCAGGGCGAAACTCCTGGCTCCTCTTCACGAACACCACTAGGGACCCATGTTCACCCCGACTGCCTGCCCCCGAAAGACTGCGAGGAGGCCTTGGTAGACATCTATTTTCGTCGGATACACCCATTACTGCCTCTTTTTGACGAAGACAGCTTTCGAAACCAGCACAGAGCAGGTAGACTCCCTCTACGGCTTGTGCAGGCGATTTGCCTTATTGCAGCGAAGGACCAGGGCGCGGTGCCTTTCCTATGCCTTGGTCCCAATTCAAACCCCCTTCCACTGCAGAAATTCAGCACCATCCTCTACACTGATGCCATGCAAAACATCTCGAGAAGGCCAGAGAAAAAAGCACTTGCAATACAAATTTTGGCCCTTCTCTCACTGCACGAATGGGGCTCCACTGGATCCGAGGATTGTTCTTTGAATCTGGCCCAGGCTATTCACCATGCCCAGACCATGGGGTTGCATTTGCTGAGGCCAGACCAAAATTCTGGTACATCTCCCAGGGGTCTCTTCTGGTGTCTGTGGAGTCTAGACCGATGGAACGCTGCTATGAATGGGAGGCCTTTAATGATACACGACGGAGACTTGAGTCAGAGGGTGGACGACGTTGTTTCAACGTTTCAATCGCCGTTTCGTGTCTGGCTTCGAATTGCCGATAAGCTCGGGGAAGTGATGAACTTCTACCGACCGATCATGAAAGGCATGGATCAGAGTGAACTCGATCTTCCCTCCTTTGAGGATATTGTGGAGCACTGTGAGGCTTGGGACATGCCCCCGTACCTACTTGGTATGAAACCTTCCGTCCTTCAGTTGCAACATTGTCTAACCCCTAACGGACAGAGTCCCTTGAGCTTGTTTATCACTCTGTGATTATTCTGTCAACACATTCCAGCGGGTTGCAAGGCCGATCACGGCCACGAGCGTCAAAAATCCGACAAAGTCATTCAATACTTACCATGGCGTCGCTCAGTTACAATCGTGATATTCGGGAATTCCTGCCGTTTCCCATGATCGGTTACACCATCTCGCTCGTATTCTCGGTCACGTACAAACAGCTGAGAGAAAGCAAACTACCAAGTGCGCGCCACACGGCGATTTCCCAAATTCATTTATTTCATCAATGTCTCAAGAAAATGGGCACCACATGGTGGTCGGCCGCTGTGATGACTCGTCTAGGCCAGCGTGTGTTGAACAACATCCAACCCATCATAGACCAGGAACGTTCCACAGGTCCAGACATCAATATCACCCGACTAAACCCTCAGCATGAATCGAGCCGTATATCTTCACAGCCACTTACCCCCGTTGATAATATGCAGTCGCACTCGGCTATTGACATTCCGTATGTGGCGACACGGATTAATGCAGAATATCAGAGTGCACACCTTCTGGCTGATGATCTACTAGGATCAGATAAACCTTTGGATTTTGAAGTAGACAGCACGCCATTATTGACTACAGCTGAAATTGAGGATTTCGATACCTTTTTCGGCAATTTCCTTGATGTCGGCTTTCCAAACTCTGCGAATAATCAATCGTTACTAGGTCTGGACATGCCGGACTTCGAATTTGTTCATCCCGATATAACTTAATGGAAATTACAAAAGTGAAAAGTCCTTGAACAAATATATGCCTGATCACATAATGTATCATTTCTATGTATCGAAGTTTATTCACTGTAATGAGTTTAACAGTATAATGAGCTCCCCACCACCCCATTCCACTGCAGTAGTAGTAGAATACATGTACCCTGACCCCTCGCGAGTTGAAACTCTGAAATGAAGTCTCTACTTCTTCTTGGGCGGTGCAACATTGAACTGGAAGTGCACAATGTCGCCATCTTGGACGACATAAGACTTACCCTCTTGTCTGTACTTTCCAGCTGACTTGATCGGGCCCATGGATTTCTCGCCATTGCAGAGGTCGTGGAAGTCCTTGTACGCCACAACTTCAGCCTTGATGAAACCGCGCTCAAAGTCGCCGTGAATGACACCAGCTGCTTGTGGAGCCAAAGTTCCCTGCTTGATCGGCCAGCAGCGGATCTCTTTCTCGCCGGCAGTAAAGTAATACTGCAGTCCCAGCTTGGTGAATCCTATCATGACTGTTAATATGGGGTACGGTAAGTGAGGCGAATACCGGGGACATACCTTCGGTGGTTATCTTTCCTAGGCGACTCGGGACCTTAATGTCGGCTACGAAGGCATCCAGCGCTGGCTTGTCATCCCGCAGGGACCACAGCTTCTCCTCAAACTCGACAGAGAAGGGGATGATATCTGTTCCTTGGCCGCCGTGGGCCTTGACCCACTCTGCAATCTTGGGCAGGTATTTGCATTTTTGGCGGAGGTAATCCTTCATTGTAAGGTTGATGAGGTAGATTGCCGGCTTGGTAGTGATGAGGCGAAGCTTGATATTGTCAGAATTGTCTCTTGAAGTATTAAAGGAACCTAGACAAACCTTCTCGTTGATCAACTCGATTTCAGGACTCGTCCACTCTCCATCTCTAACAGGCTTATCCTGTTCCAAAAGCTATAATGGAGTCAGCAAACTACACATCCATCTCTTCTACGAGAGAGCGTGACATACCGCCTTGATCTTAGCGGTTGTCTCGTCGAACAGCGGCAGCATCTTGAATTTTCCTCCAGCCTTTCGCACAATTGCCTCTTCGGCAACCTTGGCTTTGGCAAGAATATCCAAATCCTTCTTGCACAGCTCACTCTGGATTGTATCTGCACCATCGCACCATTAGCATATATTTCTCCTGCATCCTAGAAAGAGGGAAAAGAGTTCTTACCCAAGTCGCGAACAGGATCAACGGAGTCATCCACATGGAGAACCTCATCGTTATCAAAGGCTCTGACAATGTGGTACATGCCATCCACCGCCTGAATATGACTCAAGAAGGCATTTCCCAAACCAGCTCCCTCACTCGCGCCCTTGATCAATCCCGCGATGTCGGTAACCTGCAAATACGCCGGGTACTTGCTAGGTGGGTTCCAGATCTTGCACAGGAAGTCCTATCTCACATTATTAGTTAGGACCTCATATTTGTATTTAAAGGGCTAAGATCCATCACGTGGGAAATCACCCACACAGAAATTCGAAAAGGGAAAGAGAACTTACATATCGCGGATCAGGAACAGCACAGCGGGCTTCATTGGGCTCGATGGTGCAAAATGGGTAATTTTCTGCCGATGCGCTCTGCTCTGTCATCAGGTTGAACAGCGAACTCTTTCCCACGTTCGGTAGACCAACACAACCCATCTTGAGGTTGGACTTGACGCGCCCGAAGGCAACGACATTGTTTGTCGGCGTTTCAACTGGTTTCTTTGGTGCCATATTGGAGTATATTTATCTCTGTATGGAGGGGTTGTTTTTCTACGGGTTCTTAAGGCCAGTGTGCGTTCCGCTTCGAATTTTTATTTTTTTCTCTCTTAATGATACTCCTGCCCGCAGTTGTATTGGATTCTCATTGTTCTATTGGTCGGCTTTTACTCCTCTATCCACCTTGAAAGATCCCGTAGACGGTGGTGACTCTCCAGCGCATATGGGCCCACCAACTGATTCTCGGAAAAAGATCGCTGCAAAGGCTCCTTTTAATCTGTAAGTATCTTATGTTATACCTAATTTACTGTAGACTTTCTACAAGAAGTTATGGCAAATTAATTGTATATCAATTTCAGCCAAGTCGGGCTAAAAAAACATTCTTTGCAACTGTCACCACATGGATACTTTGGTAGTTGGAAAGCACCTTTTATTTCTAGAGGATGTTGAAGATATTGTAATACTGCTCTGATCAAATTAATTTAGGCCCCTACAAGGGGCGACGATCAACTTCGCAGCAAAAATCTACGCAAAACAAGCTAGCAAGATTTATTATGATATGGTACAGCCTGGGTTGGTTTGTATTTCCGAATATGCTCTCCGAAATGTCACCAGGCTATTCGGGATGTGGAAAAGTAGCACTAGTAGTACGATAAATTGTATACATATGTACTTCGAGAAGGAGCAGTCATATGATCGTGAGAGGATATGATGCTCCGTCATAGATCAGGGAATGCCTATCAAAGTCGCCAAAGAAATACCCAAGGGCTCACCCTTTATGTAAAATACATGTTTAGAGCAGCCTCACAAGAATGTTGGTATTCCTTCCCTGGCGAAGAGCTGCGCTCGAAAGGTTTGAGACCTTGAAATCCATCTCCCCGACCCCGTTTAGGAATGTCCGCTCCGTCGCGCGGATACAAGTATAAAAACAGATAATATGCCATGATTCCCCCGATATAAACCCGCCAGCTCATATTCAATTGAATTCTTATTCTACGTTCTACTTTATCAAGCTCGATATTGCTTGGATCTTCGACCATGTTCCGCAACCACATTACCCGCTCTGAGTTGAGGTATGTTTGTTCCTAAGCTTTTCCATACTAACCTAACTCATGTTCTATTAGTCTTGATCAAACATGCATTTTTATTTCAGAAGATCGGCATCCAGTGTATGTTACTGGAAGACTCAATCTCACCCTTGCACAAGTCGTCTCGGTCAAAAGCATCAAAGTGAGATTGAGGGGAATATTTGCAATGTGAGGACCCCTACCACGTAGTTCATTATTGGCTATCTTCTTACTACTGTTTATAGTCCCGTTGAAGGAATCATAGGATCAGAGATTCGTAAACAGATCACAGTCGAGCGAGAACAACCACTAGCTTCTTCGAGAACACTCAACGCATTCCAAATGCCGGCCGGAGATCACGCATTTTTATTCGATATTCCCCTCCCAAGTAAGGTCTTCGACACAGTGACTAGCCCAAACCATCAATATCACACATATTGCGTAGAGGCTATTATCGAGCGACGGTTCAAAAGCGATTTTGTGGTCTCGCAGCCAGTTAGGATTTACCAGGTTTCCGATTTGGTGACAAGCTATTTGAGACCGCATTGCCCCCTGGTTAGTACTTTTCATGCGAAAGGTTTTACCACATTCAAATCACTGAACATACCTAGACTCTCGAAGGTCACTCCGACGAAGATATTCAATATTGCCTCTCCATCACTGACCGGAGCATCCCCTTTGGTTGCACATTTCCCGTGGAATGCTGGTTTGCACCGCTATTGAAATACGCCAAGCTCAACAATGTTACAATCAAAGTTATTGAGAAACAGACTGCGCTGTTGCCTGCTACTGCTGCAGAATCAGCGCAGCAAAATATGCAGTTTATCATTGCAGCACATAGTCAAACTGTTTTCTCCGACACCATCGATTTCTCTCGTGATGAGTCTCCGGTGGATGATCATTCGGAGATTGAATGGCGCTTCACCACACCTGTTTCTCTGCCTCAGAGTCTCGACGCTTGCTCGCAGAGTATCTCGACCAAGCACCTCAAGATCACTCATGAGCTCTCTATCACTGCTGAGTTCCGCAATGAGGCAGGTGATGTTACAGCTGTGGTATGCAAATGACTCATCGAGAATTCATAACGTGCAGCTGACAGAATCTAGTTCACGGAAATTATGCCATTGAAAATTTATATGACACCTAATGTGATTGGAGATACTTCGTCCGTTCATGGGCAAGGCATCCAACTTTTGCAGGGAAGCCAAAGTCCACCTCCAGCTTACAGCGATCGCTTTCCGGACTTGATCGTGTCGGCCGCTACTCAACTGAATCTTTGTGAGCAGCCGATGCTGGCGGAGATCAATTCTGCGCGTTCGTCAAGTGAGCAAAGTGCGAGTATTCACACCATGGAGCCTGCTCCCCGGTATGAACAGGTTGTATTGTCCGTTTGAGTTTGGACCCTTTTTTTGGTTCTTTTTCTACCTCGACATTGATGTTGGATGATTTTCAACGAATTTCGGTATAATATTCGAGCCTCAAGGGCTTCATTTTCGCGAATTCCTTCTAATTCCATCTGTTAAATACTATATCCAAACTAATGCTTGTCAAACCCTAAGTCTTATTGGATCTTGTAAACCAATCCCTCTTCGGCTCCTACTTGTCCATGACAAAGTCTCTCCCACCCTCCCTCAACACCATCTGCACCACAGACACCACTGCCAAACACAATCTTCATCCCCGGCTCGCTCAAGTGTCGCTCATCGAGCCATTTTTCCCACTGTGCGCCTATTGTTGCAAAGTATGCTTCCGGGCCGACAGTCTCGAGTATCGTGTCTTGAACACCAGAGGTGTTATACTGAACCTTTCCAAGCTCCGCCATCGCAGTCTGTCCAGCAATAATCTCCTCCGTCGAGTATACTTTTTGCTCATTCCCAACCTGGACAATAACAACCTTGCAAGCTTGCAGCTCGGCACTATTCTTGATCAGAGAAAGTGTATCTTCCATCGCATTCCCACGACCACCAAAATCAACAATAACAATCTTCGAGGGCCTGCGGCTAGCCAGCCACTCCGCAGACTCCGTACAATCAACATCCCCATATGCAACCACCTTCGAAGGAACAGAAGTAGGTAGATTCCGATCCGCCTCCTGGATGCGTGACATAGCCGATGTAACCTGCAACAAGCCAAGGGGTGCCGAGCTATCCGGCTTTCGCGAGAGGTAGTATGAGAAAACACGGGCCGTTTTAGTCGACGCGGCTAGGTTCACTACGACCGCGGAGGACAAGTCCCCGTCGGACAGGGTCCATTGTAACCCAGCTTGGTTTCCCAGTGGATGGATGGGGGTTGGTTTGGGTTGGACGAGAAAACATACTCGCTGAGAACGAACCCGGCTACCCCGCCAATGAGCAGCGTGGTCCAGGCCATGCGGTCTAGCTCATCTCGGGCAGAATCTGAAAGGGAATTGGACGCGGTGGTGAGCTCGGAGATTGGGGTCGTGGTCGGGGTTACCGTGTAACGGTTATACAGTGGCATTAGCTTTTGGCGATGCTCGCTGGTCTCGATCCAGTGGCCTTCTGGTGAGCTGCGTTTGAGTTTGAGATCGGTTGACGCGCTGGTCGTCGGCCAGAATCCGTATAGGAGTGTTCCTTTGGGTAATTCTGGAATGGTTGTCTCTTCCACTGTTGCATAGCCCCAGGCCGGAACGATTCCCCAGGTTGAGGGGTCGTTGTATGGTGCGGGATAGTCTTCAGATACGGGGTATGCGTCCCACCTGCCAGTAATTGATCAGAATCTCATTTTGAGTTGTTTTGCGACAGTCTCCTCTAGTCTGGGTAGAAATTGGGAGCATACCAACGTAAGAATCCGCCCATGCGGGCATAGGTCAAGTTGTTCGAAGTGAGGCTGATCAATTGCGTGCGAATTCTTACTGAAGAGTCCGATAGTTCCCGCTGAGCAGCGGCTTCCAGGTTGAAGCTCGCATGCTGGCGGTTATCCAGCTTTGAAACTACATGAACACCCATGGCTAATGAATTCGATAAAGAGAAAATGGATCAGAATGAGTTCGAAAGTTGTTTCTGTTAACCTACTTGATTATTGATCATAGGCATGAAGATCATCCGGCGGGGAAATCCCGCCAGCTGAGAAATGCTACAAGTGTCAGCACGATTATGCACTTGCCCATAATAGGCCCTAAACAATACAAACATGCCAATTTATTGTAGCTGCATAAGTAATGCATTTTTCTCTAGTTTTTTTTTTTTGGGTAATCGAACTGGTATACCATCTAATATAGAAACATTCTTCCTATAAGCTTATAAATTAACTCAAAGACGGTTTGAAGATACAAAGTTAATTTTTATAAAGCTTTACTTTTATAAGGGGTAGGTAGAGAGGTATTATTAGTGCTACTACAATTGACAACTAAGTATAGACCCAAATATAACATAGTTATATATTTCTTTATACTAATACTCAGTAATCCTTCTAGGTACAAGTTCGTCACAAGGTGATTTTTATATGAAATTTTGTATGAAACATGTCATCATAATACTAAAAATTAGGATAATACCTACTAAATTCCTACTCCTTACTATAATAATATGATGAAACTAAATATATAGGTTGGTCCCTATGTAAAATGGACCTCTTAATCACTATATTTGTACACGAATGGGCTTTTTATAGGCTTTGATGGGCTTACCAAAGAGCTGTGGGCCGGGGCCTTGGGCCCATTTGTGGACTATTGAGGGGTCTACTCCCAACATAGCTAAATGTACGCTCGACTTCATTCGTGATATGGTAAGATAGTCGAGGCTACTGGCTGCAGCAAGCGCGCAATACAAGGCGTGAATATCCGGATATCAGTCAATAGAACTCATCAGCTCGCTGCTTGGCGAAGTGATTTCACTGATTCCTATAACTTTCCCGTGGGCAACCCTCTTCTATACGTACGTACTCTTGACCACATTCTAACTGAAGAATGATACAATTGTGTATTTGGCGAGTTGGCCCGTCGCCTATGTCTCTGCCTGATGAGCAAAACGACAGCTGGTCTCCCCACATAGACAGTTCTTCTTCAGCTTCCCCCAGTAGGAATCCGAATAATCAACCGTAATTTCACTTCCGGCGGACACTCCGCGAGAGACCACGAGTATACGCTCAATCCCACGCCAGTAGAACTTCTGAAACTGGGTATTAGGGCGACACGAGTGATTGATAAAGCGAGTAAAATTGCCCATTTGGCCTTGGAAGACCTGATATGGTCGTTCTGAGCTTCCACCTATCATCACGTCCTGGCCTTCAATCCCTTTAGTGACGAGACCGACAAACTCTGCAATAGCTGTGCCTCGGTCGAATTCCTTCGAAATGTTAGTAATCACTGTATTAAGGGCAGTTGGCTGAGCCGGGATGAATAATCAATATGCAACGTACGCAACGGGCGATCACCCCATTATTCTTCCCACCGGCTGTGTTATACAACTGGACAGGAGGGGGATAACGAACACCACCAAATAAAGGCCGGAAACAAGAACAGTGATTAGAAATCACATCATCGGTCTGTTTTTCCTTGCACAGTTGACAAATATCAGGATCAACGTTCTGCCCGCGTCGAGGGTCATCTCCACCGAACACATTATGATCAATCACACAGTCGTTGACGAACTGATAATTGAACCCGTTTGGCAATGTCAGATGGGGGTAGGTGGCTTTAAGCGGCAATGCTGGCCCCGTATCTAGCGTGACCCATTCATGAGGGTGACCAAAGTATCGACAAGCCCCATTTTGGCTAATAACTCGGAGAAGGTCTCGCCAACTAGGGTGGAGAGTATCTGCGGCGACTTCAAGGCTAGAAGCGATGCGACGCAGCCGAGACATAAGTCCGGTATCAAAGCCTATCCTATATTTGCATACGCGGTAGATACCGGACCCAGCAAAGATTAGGCTAGCCCAACCACCGGAATCTTTGATTTCTTTGTATCCACGCCAAACCGCCCTTGAGAATAATCAACAATCAGTTCAAACGCACAGATATAAGGAGGGCGAGATTGAAATATAGACCGAAAGAATGACTTACATCTTATTTCTGAGCTCCTTTTCATGCCACATTAATGTGCTGCATGCTTCTTTTAGAGCTGCCATTCGAGCTTCGGCGTTTGTATAGGTTGGACGCTCGAGACGAATCGATGCAATCCGTGCTTCATAGCATTCCACCCAGTATGCTTGCACTACTATTTCCAGAGCCCGTGATGACCGGCTCTGGTCATAGTGTTTCTTGCACAAACAATTTATAGCCTGAAAAACCTACAAACATCGCTATTAGTTTATCACAAGTCCACTGTGCTGATGCAAAGAATTGACACGTACTGCTTGGCTAACACCAGTTCCAAGACTGAATTCTGGTCTACGGTCCTGCACAATGGTCAGCGATAATAGATCTGACTGGCGTAGACTCAAAACGCACCGGAAACGAGACACTCAAAGTGACAGGGGAATGCACCTGCCGCCATATGCCCGCTATAAATTTATCTATAGAAGATGGCTGTAGGGTGGGAGCAGCGGCGTCCTTCGTGGGCTTCTTGCGCTGAGGAAACCGGGTATCGCTGTGAAATTGCCGAACTAACGGTTCGATTCTTATGTTGGACTGTCGTAGACGAGTCCCAGTGTCTGCATCGCTATCTGACTCTGAATTATCTGTCGCCACTGCTATGGCAGCAGACTTTGATGGTCGTAGCCCACTAACGGTCTTATGCCTGGGCTTGTCAAAGTCATCCTTGGATGTGGACTTCAAAAGGGCAACCTGGCTCGGCGTTGTAGTCAGGCTCCGGTTGTTTTCCACGCTCAACCATCCCTAGCAATAGTTTTATTAGTGTAGGTAAGGCATCGCCCACGAGATTTGCAAATCAGTTCATACCAGAGGCAGCGAATTGTCATTCTTAGCGGTGAGTTTCGGTTCAAGACTGTTCGAAGCGCATACTACTGCGTCAATACGCAGGCAGATGTCATCATGCGGGCCGAAAGAGGCCAGTGTGGAGGCTAGCCGGCTGGTGAAGTCTTTATCGAATAAATCCGATAACTTTGTCACGACCGGGTGATGCACGATGGGATGATACATCGTTAGTGAGTTGGTTGTTACTTGTTACCTAATGGGATCAGCTGCAGTCGCCCCACAAATTCTGCCCGGGCAGAATTTGATGACTCAGCCGCTTAGCCGGCCCCGTTCCAAACCTTGAATCCAGGCTTGGCTTTGCAAGACCTCACAGTGACGTGGTAGTTATTGGGATGTGCTCTTTCATAAGAAACAGATATGTTTGTACTGCTGGGGAGATGAGAAAAAATGCATGCAGTACCAGTCAACGAGCTAGGTTGGACGATACATCGAGTGATTCTAGCCTATGTAGATAGTAGAAATATCTACGTAGCAAGGAAAAGGGTTTGGAATGTTGGGTAGGCTAGTGGAGTTCTTCCTCCAAATCGAGAACAGTTGGCGTGAGCTTTAAAACCCGAGACTCTGATGAATTTGGTCAGGGCATGTCTGGTTGAGGCTATCAGACTAGCAATTAGCAAACCAGTCCTGGTGGGATCTTATTACTATATAACCAACCCTCCTCCTCGTTGCCACCATCCTTCTCTTCGTTTGACTCTCATATTCATCACATCCGTGAACAGCTATCTATGATGCCGGCATCCGAGCAACCTGAGGCGCCCTCTCAACCTCTGCCGACAGTTAAGTTAGATCTTTCCTATACTTATGACAACCTCACAGGGTGGAAGAGCGTACGTGTCCTTCGAATCGGAAGGGGGATGTATCATGACGTCCGGAGGCGCCTTCCTTACTACTGGAGTGATATCCGCGATGCGTGGACGTATAGAACTGTCGCCAGTATCATTCGCATGTATTTTGTGAAGTGGGTTACCCTAGTCCGCAACCGAACTCGGCTAATATATGTTCTCTAGTATACTCCCAGCCATAGCGTATACACTGGATATGCACCGGAGAACTGGCCATTTTTATGGCATCAACGAAGCGCTCTTCTCATCCGCCCTAGCGGCGATGGTATTCAGCATCCTTGCAGTGCAACCTCTTACCATCGTTGGTATTACGGGGTTGATTTCTTTGTTCAACTACACCATATATGACATTATAAACATCTACGAGCCCTCTATATACCCCCAATTTATGTGTTGGGTGGGTATCTGGGGTGCTATATTCCACTGGATTGTTGCTTTGTGTAACATGTGTGACTATATGCGCTACGCCACGGATTTCTCGAGCGAAACGTTCGGCTTTTATGTCGGAACTATCTATATCAGTCAGTTTTGCTTCCGGAAGACACTGCCTTCTCAATGTCAAGAAGAACAATAACTAACTCGGAGGCTAGGCAAGGGTGTGGAGGAACTGATCAGCGAGTTCACCAACAACGGGCATGCCGCTGGGTTTATGAGTTGCATGATCGCAATACTCTATTTCCTAACGATCTACAGCCTGGAGACCATTGGGTCGAGTACCGCCTGGAGGCCTGATTTTCGTGGTTTGCTGGCTGACTATGCATACGTGGTACGTGGAGTTTAATGACGCTGGTCTACCATTCGGAATCACTTACAATCCGTCTTTTCTTTTCTATATAGATCGGAACGATTTTTTGGGTGGGATTTTCACACATCCCTGGTCCTCTCAAAGCTGTGGATATATCCCGTGTTCCTATCAGCAAAGCCTTTTACCCGACGCAGTCGCGAGGCTGGCTGATTCACTTTTGGGAATTGGACGCTAAATGGATTTTCGTGGCGCTGCCGTTTGGATTTCTGATCATGTTGCTCTTCTATTATGATCATGTGTGAGACCCTTTTCGGAGAATGGAGTCTTACTCCTGGGTATGGTGCTAACTTTGTGGCTAGAACGTCAGTAGCCTGACGGCACAAGCGCGGCAATTCCCACTGAAGAAGCCTGCTGGGTTCCATTGGGACTTTTTTCTTCTCGGATGCACCACTTTTATTTCGGGCATCATTGGCATTCCTTTCCCTAACGGATTGGTTCCACAGGTATAATAGCCGACCCGAGTCTCCGGTCCTGTTCTGAAAGTGTTAATAACCCATACCAGGCACCCGTACACACAGATTCATTGACTGTATATGAAACGGATGTCCGCATTGTGCCAACTGAGGAAGGAGAGGGAGCCGAGATCCGTCGTCCGATAGTCAAGTCAACTGCGGTGGTAGAACAACGCGTTTCGCATTTCGTCATGGGGCTGGCTATTATTGGTACTATGACGGGCCCCCTCCTGATCGTTCTCCATACTATGCCTGCTGCGGTGTTCGCAGGCGTATTTTTCATTGTGGGATGGGGTTCTGTTGGATCTAGCGGCATCATGCAGAAATCGATTTACTTGGTGCTAGAGGACCGTTTTGTGCAACGTGACGAACCTCTTCTGAGAGTGCGGAACCGCAAGATCCTGCTGTGGATTGCGTGTCAGCTCATTGGAGTTGCGGCCTGCGTCGCTATTTCCGAGACAATCGCTGCTATTGGTATCTTCCTTCCTCCCGTCTGGCTTCACCAAAGCGACTAACAGCTTTCATTTCTAGGTTTTCCCGTGTTGATAATCGCTTTGATCCCATTTCGGGTGTGGATCATTCCTAAATGGTTTTCTGGGGATGAAATAGGTGTACTGGACGATATGACGGCCAACAATGAAGCCGTTCTAGCCAGCCTTGGTGGATCACCCAAATTTCCCGGAGAGGATCGTCTTCAGGACGCCGGAATTGAGCGCCGGTACTCGGAGCAGAAGAGGGGAATCAGTAGACAACGAGCCGGCAGCTTACATGTTTAAGGCGGCAATTTACCCGGGAGCTGAGGACTCGCTGAGCCTTGCAGGCTTTTGCTCGTTTTATCACACCACAGTGCTCCAAGGACATCAGGCCGCGTTCATCCAAAGCTTCCAAGCACGCTGAGCTATTTGCTCCAAAGCTTGTGTCCTATTGCATAGGAAAATCTCAACATCTTATACCACTATGGCTTACCGTTATTTTAAAAAATGTAGTAACTTAACTCGAACAATAAAGAACTTTCCACGACACGAAAACAGAAGGTGACGTTTGACCGCCCTGGTCATAGATATATATAACAAAGCTATGAATGGAAATCTCGGCCTGCACGTTCTAAACCTATATCATCCCCTACATTCTTTAGTATTTTGCAACTGGTTCTTCATGTATATCTCTGACACAGATAGAGGGTGAAACCATCTAAAGACCTGCAGATGGGAAACATCTCGACAGAATGACGGAGGGGCACAAGGGTCAGTTGTGACACCGAGTAGATTATAAGGAATTTGAACTTATATGTACCTTGTATTATTGCACCTGCATATTGGCAACAATCTCTCCCAAAGAATATTTGATTGATCGAATGGATAGTCCTACTTCAATAAGGTAGCCAGCCCTAAATACCATCCAATTTCCTCCTTCGATATATTCCTCTATTCCGTCCTTTCTCTAAACTATCTGAATAATCGTACAAGATGGATAATTTCTATAACGAGAAAACGGCCATAACTCCGTTGGCATAATTATCTGAATAGCTGTTTTAAGCACCGCCACCACTAGGTTTCTTCGCGTTAACATTGGCCCATTCGTTGCATAAGCTGAAGGGGACAGTGAGGCCGCAGGCCGCGATAGTAATCGCGAAAACAACCTTGATACCCCATGCGTACGCAATGACAACACCGTCCAGCTGGGCTCCGGAAAATAGCCGATGCACCTCAGTGGCACCGGTACCCGTGACCAGGGCGGGATCGATGCTCGGTGCCGTTGTTGCAAGCTTGTGCACGATCTGGTTGACGAAGGCAGATTGCGCGGCTGCGAGCAAAATTGTGCCGCCGACAGATCGAGCGACTGTGCACGAGGGATATAGTTAGCTTGGTGATATAAAGAAAATTGACGACATGTTAGGATAGGATAGGGCGAAGGAGAACGAACTTACATATAATAATCGCGGTCGTAGGCGCCATATCGCTTGGCGCAGCAAAAGCCTGCGCAACGACGACCGGCACTTGGAGGGCGAGGCCGTATCCGAAGCCCGCCAGGATCTGATACCCAACCCATCTACCTGTCGAGGTCCCGATGTCGAGAGTATATAGTAGACCAGCGGCGATGGTCACGATCATAGAGCTAGCGGCCATATAAGGAGTTGCAATACCGGTCTTCGTGATAGCTCTACCTGAACCATATGTGGCAATTCCGAACATGATGATAAGTGGAATATTACGCACGCCCGAGTCAATCGGACTAACGTTGTCGATGCTTTGGAAGTAAATAGGCAGGTAATAGAGCGTGACGAAATACGCGCCAGCGAAGAAGAAGCCCCATACGCTGCTAGCCCAGACGGACTTTTTACGCAAAATGCGTGGTGTCAGCATAGCGCGTTCGCCTTGCCATATTTCTGCAATTATAAGTGCAATAATCATAACAACGAAGCCGACGAGTAAACCAATAACGACACTGGAATCCCACGCATGGGTTACGCCACCGTACTGAAGAGCTAGAAGTAAGCAGGCTAGTGCACCCATCGTAAGCATCGTCGCTATCGGGTCCATATGTAGAAGCTTCTCCTTAAGCGTGGCCTGGACCACTGTAGCGGCTTTAGGGGTCTTGAAGGTGAGTAGGATAACAAAAGCGGCTAGACCACCGATTGGAAGATTGATATAGAAACACCTAAAGTTATCACGTTAGGCTAGTTCCGGTTATATGATAGACATTTCTCAACTCACCACCTCCAGGATACCCCTTTTGTAAGGCCCCCACCAATAAGTGGACCGCAGACAGCGGCAACGCCATATGACACACCAATGACCCCCGTGTAGGTAGCTCTTTTAGTGGGCTCAGCAGCAAAAGCGGAAATCGTGTATACTCCAGGCACAATACCCGAGGCACCGAGACCGGAGATAGCACGTCCAACAATCAGAGTCGTTGAGTTTGGGGCGACAGCGGCGATCAAACTCCCAAGTTCAAAGATGAAGATTGCCACCAGGAAACTAGTTTTGAGGGGAAAGTATTTATATACTTTGCCCCAGGTTGACTGAAAGGCTCCGAGCGTCATGAAATAAGCCGAACCGTACCACG